CCAAAAGATCAAATGCACTGTTCTACATTCAGTGGGTGGCATAGAGGGCTGCTGAGAATCACAACCTCAAACTTTAACTATGTATCCCTCCTCCCAGTCTTCCATTCCATGCTGCCAAGTCTCTCCATTGTAGATGCTAGCCTGGGGAGAAGGACAGGAAAGAACAAAATTCTGAATTTCCCCAGTTTTTTCTTAAGATTTAAAAAAAAAATTTATACAATTGCTGGGTTACAGGTCAGAGGTGCAGGAGGGTGAGAGGATTCACCAGAGACAGAGCGGGGAGCAGAACAGGCAGACAGACTGAAAGCACTGCTGAGGGAAGCAGTGGGCATGACAAGAGAGGTCTGCCGCTCCATGTGGAAATCTCCCTGGCTGGCTGGGAATTCAACACACTCTGCAGAGGCTGCAGACAGCTTCACAGCACAGCTCTCAACCCATTGTGCCACGGGGGAGGCCCTCCCCAGTTTTTATTTAATCTGAACATGCTACATAATTGAGTTGACCTATGATTGACCTTGATCCGATTTTCTGCTATCAGTTGGAATGGGGGTTCACAATAGAAATTGCTTGGCTATAAAATAAATACATAAACATTCTTCTTTGTACTCAATTTTTGTAGATTAAAAATTTGTACCAGCTACGTGAGGCCAAGTCTTATCCAGAACCATAGGGAGCATCGAAATCTATTGGAGTGCAGTCCAGAAATCTATAATCTATTATTTTAAACAAATGCTCCAGGTGATTGGTGCTGTAAAGTTTGAGAACCACTGTTTTAGCATCATCTGCCTTGACTTGTGTCTCCTTTCCTACTTTGCTGAATTCCTCCTGACCATTTTCTGTTTCTCCTCCATGGGGTCCTCTCCTTGGCTTTTCCCTTTCATTCTGGTGTTATCCAATCCATCAGTTTATTAGGTAGCCTTATATTCTTTTATGTTTTATATCTCCCGGTGGATGGATAACTACCATGTGATTATATTCAACCTAAATCTCTCATCTGCTGTTAAGAAATATAATTGTCAGTCTTCTTATTGCTCTTTTGAAGGTTGTAAGACGCCCCCCCCCCAATTTGAAAGATTTTCTCATTGTTTTGAGTTTTTTAAATTCGTTTTAATAAGATTTCTAGTTGTGAATTTGACTTGGTTGGAGTTCATGGTGATGTTTGAATCTGTGCCTTTATTTTTTCATCAATTTGGGGAAATTCTTAGGCCATTTTCTCTTTTAAGATTGCTCCACTTTCTCTCTCCTAGCTAAAGTTACATATTTTAAAAACCTATTCTTTATATCTCATGTGTTTTTCATACACTTTCCTATGTTTTCCATCCTTTTGATTCTGTGTTTCGGCCTGGATAATTTTCTCTCTTCTAGTTCAGTAATTCTTTTTTCAGCCATATCTAATCAGCTGTTAAATTTATCCAATGAAATCTTTAAATCAGATATTGCACATTTTAGTTCTCACATTTAAAAAATCCATTTAATTCCTTGAACTAATAATTAGTTCAAGGATATAATTATTTAAAATAATTAATGATCTTTATTTAAAATCTAGGTCTGATAACTCCAGTATCTAAATTGCCCAAGACCTGTTTATTTATTATTTCTGTTTCTGAAAATGTCTCCAAGCATATTTTGTTTTTCCTAGGTTATTTTTGGATGACATTTTTCTATCAGAGAGAATTTACTTTTGCTTTTGGCAGGCAGTTCTAGGCTAAGAGCACTAGAAAACCTGGATCACTTTAATTCAATCAACTCTATTTTCACCTTTATTCCTAATGTTAGCCCTCTTGGGTCCCAACAAAAAGCCTGGTACATGATCAGGGCCTCTCCTTCTTGGTAGACCCCCAATTGTTTTTTGCCTCCTCATTCTTGTTTATTGAAAGTCCTGTTACAGGACACTGTGAAGGGTACCCCAGCCCCAAACCTGCCTGCTCTAAATGGGTTCTGCCCTCCACTGCATTGTCAAAACATACTCTAGTGTGTAAGACCTTTAATGGAAAGCAACTTTAATACAATTAGTGTGCAACAAAGAAAAAACAGAGAATATAGTTTCCAAATCCAGCACCTGAAGTTACCTATCCCCTAATGGGTAAATGCCTAGAAAAACAGAGTAGGCCCAAAGCGGGGCTACTGAGGCCTGAAAGCCTGCCACACGTCTAAGTCACCTCCTGGTGGGAATCCATAGGAAAGGGCCAGAGGGGTTCCTGTTGTCTTATCTCCTTCCCCATCCCACTCAACCTGCTTTTCCTGTGTAGTTGTTTCTTTTCATGGTTTTCCAAGCTATAAATATTATCTGGGAGTCTTATCTTTCTCTGTTTCTTAAGTGCTATCACTTACCAACTACTGTGTATGTTACCTCCACTATTTTCTTTCCACCTGAGCCCACTACTCTGTTCCTTAGAATATCAGACTTGGCCTTTCTTCATCTCCCTCCTGAACCACTATAGTAGTGTCTTTCCTAATTATCCTCCCTATTTTCAGATCCTCTCCCTTGCTTACCCTGCCTGAGATGTCAGAAAATTCTCCCAGAAAAGCGTTCTGACCACGTCATTGTCTACTTAAAGTCCTTCAAATGCTCCTCACAACCTCTACAGTTAAGGAATAACCCTCACGCAGGCACTCAGACCCTCCAACACACTTTTTTCACTGTACCCATTGATTTGCCTGATTCTTCCATCATCTAGCCAAATCACCCTCCCTGCCCACCATCCCCCTTCCCCTAGCACAGCACCACTCTCTGCCTCTTTTCCTCCATCCTTTATCTTTCTCAATGTTTCTCCTCTGAGATAGTATCAAATGCTACTCCATTCCATCAGCCAAAATTTTTTGAGCACCTGCTATGTGCTGGGCATAATGAAAGTCCCTGAGAATACAAAGGTAAGTTAGGGAGACATGGTCTGCTAAAGGTCTAGTGGGAGAAACATATACCAAGAAAAGATTTATCTCCTGTATGAAACTTCCCTAGCCTTCCTTCTGTATTTTCTTTCTTTCTGTCTTTTTTCTTTTGCTTGTTCATTGCTGCCCTCTCCACATCAATTTTATGAATTTCTTATCTCCCTTCTTCTGGATTAGATTTTTTTTTTTTTTGGCTTTAGAGGGTGCAATCTGTGGACCCCTGAGAAGCATATGGGTGCCCTCTGGAAGAGTGCTGAGGAAGAAAGAGCCGACACAGGTCTAATCTCTGCCGTCCCTAAACTTAGGGCGCCTAGTTATGAATAAACCCAGTATATACCATTCTGTCCCAATCTCGCAATCCCACCCAGGCCAGTAGTTCCCCTCACCACTATTCTCTGCAGCTCTTTAAGCCTTTGCTGCCCTGAAAATCCTGGCTAAGTCACTTTACAATCCTCAATTTCTGCACTTTCTCTGCTTTCATAGTTTAAGAACTGCAGGCTGCTCACTTGACACTTAGAAGGTCTAAAGTGGTCTTTGCGATGGTTAATTTTATTTGTCACCTTGGCTAGTCTTAGATATTTGTTCAAACATTCTAGAAAATTAACACTTAAATCAGTACAGTTTGAGTAAAGCAGATAATCCTCCACAATGTGGGTGGGCCTCGTTCAATCAGTTGAAGGTCTTAAATGAAAATGATTGACCTTCCTGAAAAAAAAAGAAATTGTGCCAACATACTGACTTCAAACTTGAACTACAACTCAGCTCTTCCCCTTTTTTGTCACCAAAAGTACACATAATTTTTTTTTTTTTTAAACCACTTCTTGTCCCTTGCTTACTGCCTCTGTAAACCTCTTTGACATGGGTTGGTTCCTTTCTGGTTTTGTTTTACTTTTTGCATAGGAGAAAGGTCCTTCTGTTGATCCTTGCATATGCCCCTTTTCAACATGACCCTGGAATCACTCTATTCTCGTTTCTATGGTTTAGACAAAATTAACTAGCCATGTTATTAACCTGCCCCTGGTTTAAAAGAAATACTGAAGGAACTTTTAAAAAAGAAAGTTTCTGCTGTCTTTAGCTGGGGAAAGTGTTACAAACCTTGCTGTGGCTAGTGCCATCATGGAGGTGCCCAGGAGACCCGGGTTCTTCCTGACATCTGATTCCCTGTGGGAACAATCCTTCAGACACAGGGGCCTCAAGTTTTCCTAAGAACTTGGGTGAGCGTAGCGGTTGAGCGCTGGGTTGCAGAGCTGCCCGCAGCCTCTGCAGCGCCGGTTCGATCCCCGGCTGCTCCCCGGCCACAGGGGGAGGGTCCCACATGGCGCGCAGACCTCTCCTGCCGCCCGCTGCCCCTCTCAGCAGTGTATTTCGTCAGTCTGCCTGCTCTGTTCCCCGCTCTGGCTCTGGTGAATTCTCTCACCCTCCCGCGCTTCTGACTGTACCCTGTGCCTGTATAAATAAATAAGTAAATAAATCTTTAAAAAAAAAGAACTTGGGTGAGCCCTGAGGAATATCCCAGTTCTAGAAACTCCTGGCTAACTCTGAAAAGGCGTTCAGGCTGCAAACAAGCTTTGCAAAAGGAAACATTCTTGCTTTCTTATCAAAGTACCAAAAGGCGGTAACAGAGTAGATCTGAATCAATTACATCTAAGTCAGATGGTTCTGAAGCAGAAAATAAGATGAGTTATCAAATACAAACATTTTTCTACGCCAGTTTGTAGTTTTAAAAGGATCCAGTATTTCCAAGAAGTCTAACCAGGTGTAAGGGCAGGTTTCTTGTTCCCATTTTACAAATGAGTAAACTGAGGTTCAGAATCCCAAGTGCCAATCTCTTTAACCAACCAATCACCAGAAGCGCGGTCGGGCCAGCGCAGCCCTGAAGGCCGGGCGGCTAACGTTGCTTTAAGTCGAGACCCACTTCCTCCCCCCGGGCCGCGGGCTCCCCGCCCTCACAGCTGGCGCCGCCGAAGTCACGAGTTTTCCGCCGAGGCCCGCCGGGCCCGCCCCCGCCGCTGCTGATTGGGTGGCTCTGAAACCATCGCTGCCCTCCGATTGGCTGCGACTCTCCAGCTCGCCAGCGCCGCCGGGACTAACCGGATGTGCGGCGCGGACTTCCGCTTCCGTCTCCTCCCTCCTCCCGCTTGTCCTCCGCTCGCAGTCGCCACCGAAGCGGCCGCTGCCGGGCGCCGTGTCGGGAGGTCGGTTGGCTTGGCCGTCAGCGTCGGTGTCCGTGCCGTTGAACTGCCCGTTATGGCTGAGCTGGATCCGTTCGGCGCCCCGGCCGGTGCCCCCGGCGGTCCCGCGCTGGGGAACGGGGTGGCCGGCGCCGGCGAAGAAGACCCGGCCGCGGCCTTCCTGGCGCAGCAGGAGAGCGAGATCGCGGGCATCGAGAACGACGAGGCCTTCGCCATCCTGGACGGCGGCGCCCCCGGCCCCCAGCCGCACGGCGAGCCGCCGGGGGGTCCCGGTGAGAGCGCGGTCGCGTTCGGGGCGGCCGGGCGTGTGTGGAAGCTCAGCCCGGAGCGGGTGTGAGGACGGGTGAAACTCCTGCTCTTTGCTGAGCCGGGAGGCGACGAGGCGCGCAAAGAGGAAATGAGACCCCGGCCCCGCCGTGCAGAGCCGCCCCGGCTCGGGCAGCCCACTCAGGCTTGCGCGTCCGAGCGCTCGTGGGTGCTGCTGGAGCGAGAAAGCACAGCGAGTAAGGTGACAGTCGGGCTGCGGAGCCCCAGGAGCCGGTTCGGCACAGGAACTTTTCGTGGAGCACTTGGTGGGCCTTGAGCCTGGCCTGGCCTCTGGAGCACAGCCGCATTGGCGCAGTTTGACCAGAGTGACTGGCCAGCTGGGAGAGGAGAGCAGAAAACTAGGAAGAGTAGTGGTATAGTTTTTGAGGCACACAACTGAAAATGACCACGCGGTTCGGCTCTTAAGCACTTTAGGTGCACAGAATATTGGGCTATGCGGAGGAAAGGAAGCGGGAATGGGGGGGCTCGGGAAAGAGAGTCTAGCTTCGGAGAAAGAAATTTAGGCTTAAGAGAGACAAGACTTTTATCATTTCTTTTCTTTTTTTTTTTTTTTGACTTTTATCATTTCTTGAGCCTGTTACAGCTGGGGTTTCTGGAGCCCTTCTTCCTCTAGGAACAACTTTGGTAGGCAGTGTTACCCAAGAAGAATTTAAGATTAGCCAATTTGACCTCTGTGTGCCTTATCTGTATGTGATGCTTATGATTGTGGTGGTGGGAGGAAAGGATCAATGGAAGGAATGCTTTCAGTAGTATGAGGAAGTAGGAAATTAGCTAAAAGACAGGAGATGTGACTTTTCATTTACTGGAGGAAACATGCAATTGAAGGAGAAGAGGGCGTTGATGGGGCTGGTAGTTGTGTTTATACCACCCTAAATGCAAACCTTAAGGGACCAGGCAGGTAACATGAAAGAAACATGCTGGCTGAGCAACTAGGAGTGTTGGATACTGAGGTTTTGGTGCATAAAGCTGTTCAGACTCAGAAATCTCAAATTCCTATGTTAGCAAGCAGAATCTTTTTTGGAAGTGAGTGCTGGTTTGCAGCCTCTTAATTTGTATATGACACCATACTCTCTCCTAAGCAAAACAGTGCCCCAATAAGAACTTAACATGAGAACATGTAAAGCGCCTGAAAATGTGATTTACTGCATACAAACTGGACTGAACTGGACCATGACTGGGAGATGAAGTTGCCTTTAAGTAATTTGTCTGAAAATCATAAAATTTACTTTTTGGTTCTTTAGACACTTTGCTCATTTAATAGAAAACTGAGTCCTCCAGAGAAATGACTTGCTTAAGGATTAGTTAGTTCTTAAAGATAAGATGATTACTGAGCCCTGAGTCTCCCCACTCTTCCACTGTACCATGTTCTGTTGCAGCTGTTTTAGCAGGGATGTACTGGGATAGGAGCTTGTCATTTCTGTAAAGCAATTGTGGTTGGCCTGGGTAGAGACAGAGTTGAGAGAATAAGGACCCATAGTTAGGGCCTGGCTAAGGACAGTGTTACTGTTGCTCAGTCTTGTATCCCCAGTGCCTTGAAGAGTGTTACACATGTATTAGATACTCAGAAAGGAATGGGCAAAAATGCTAGGTCCAAGGGTCCTGTGTAGAACCAGCAGATCTTATGGGCAATGTGGTGAGGTAAAAAGGGTGAGACTGGTGTTGGCTGCACAGGTCCGTTGTGCATCAAGCTTTCAGCAAAGGGAAGGAAGGAAGGAATGATTGCTGACTTAGTTCCTAGGAAGGACTTTTTATGTGACTTAGAGCCAGATCTCTGACAGCAAGGTTGATAATAGTGCAGTGGTCAGGGAAAAAAATAGTGCAGTGGTTAGCACTTTCTTTGGGAATTACAGAACTATAGGTTTCCTCCTTTATCTGTAAGTAGAATGTCCCTGTATGGTATCATTTGGTTAGCTGTTTTTTGGGTCTGAGAGTGTTCAGTTTTTTCCCTATAAATTAATGGTAATTGTATTCCCAGGCCCCAAAAACACCCTGCAAATTACATGAAAAGGAACATTCTACTTATGGATAATGGGGGGAAGTGGTAGTCGGACATTTTCTTTTTTCTTTCTAAGAGGCTTTCTAGTGGTTAAAATTTTGTGCAATCCCCTTAGATTGCTTGAGTGCAAGCTTTGTGGTCTCAAGCAGCTTGAATAACCACCACTGCTACCACTGCCCTGCCTCATTTTTTGCCGTAAACGGTGCAAATACGCACCACATGAGGGTTAGTAGGATTGCATCAGAGAGCACCTGTACATAGTACCTGGGAGGAGGGAGAGCGTCATAACACAGCCTGCAGGTGTAGGGGTGTGGGGGGAGGGGGTTTACTGAGGAAACAGTTTTTAGGAGGGAGCTCTCTTTCTGACATCATGGTGGTTTTACAGGGGTGTATTGGCAAGAGGCGCTGACAGATTGAGGAGTAGGGAAAGAACATACATCTCAGTAGCCCCAGCCTTGGGGACAACTCCCATGGAGGCTGAAGCAGGCCAAAACCAGAGAGCTTAGGCCTAAGCCTTTATTACTCTCTCACCCAGGCGGTTAGGAGATCTGGAGAAGAGATTGTATTTAGAGGTGAGAGGTAATCTGCTGGGTGAAGTGGCTTAGGGGCTACTGAGGAGGAACAAATAGTAAGGCAAGAGGCAGCATAAGTCTAGAGCTGTTGAGAAGCCCTCAGTCACGGACTGAGGAGGGAGGAGGAGAATAAGACTATTAAGGAGCTACTGAGAGAATAAGGCAATGAGGCCCTTTTAGGTTCTGACAAGTACTTTCTTGGAGGAGGAAAAAGGAAGACATATGGGAAAGGAAAGGTAAATTCAAGGAAAGTTTTCTGGAAGAGAGTAATTTTCTTGGTACAGTGGTGGGGCTGAGTTCAGGGAAATCTCATGCATACTACTACTGCCCATTGACTTATACTGGGTGCTGTCTGTACTTTATAATCCACACAATAATTCTAAGCTAAGTGGTAGTATCACTTTACTTGAGATGAGAACTGATCATCTTGGAAGTTAAGCAGTGGGCCAAGGTAGCAAGCTAATAAATGTTCACTTGGGATTCAGACCCAGGTCTGCTTGACTTTTAGGTGGCTGGGGAATATGGGAAGTTGAAGGTGAGTTTGGGCCAGACAGTCTTACATATCCACACACTTATTTGGCCCTTGTTTCTGTCTGGACTTCCTGAGTTGCCCTAGAAAATCACCTACTGGGGCATCAGGTTGCTTAGCTTAGTTGTTCTTCCTAATAAGTCAAAGCCCTAGATGACCTTTCTGCATGTTTCTATAGCAGCAGGCCATCCTTTGACTTGGGCCACTTGAATGTCTATATGAGTACAGTAACTAATAAGAGCTCAAAGTACTTGCTGGTGGGTCTGGATGAGTCTGGACCTAAAGGACAGGCACCATGTGATTTCAAAGGCGATGTGGGGTGGGAATTGCTTCTAGTTTTGTGTATGGGGTAGTGATCAAAGTCTCTCCTATTGGGAATGGCCCTGGGCTGGAATATATTAACTGGATAGTTAGTATATTAGCTATAATTATTAACTAGAGTGTAGGCCTGGCTAGACTAGCCAGTGTAAGCTCTAAGATTTAAAATGATTTTGCTCTTTTCTGTCTTACACAGCAATGAATTCCAGATGGATTAGAGGCATTTTTTTAAAGCACCAGAAGAAAAGTGAATATCTCAGAATAGGAAAGGCCTGTAGCGTAAAAGCAGACACAGAAATCATAAAGGAAAAGTGGATGGTGTCTCTCTACAGGTTAAGTAGTTCTAGGTATAAATATTATAAGTGATACAAAAAGACAATGGGGAAAATGTTTGTAATATCAGAGGAAGAACAATTAATATAGACAATACTAAGATGAAAACTAACATGGGCACAACTCAATTCAGTAGAAAAGGAAACCACATGTCAGATGTGTGGTTATTCACAGGAAATAAGATTGGCACAACAGAACTACCTTAAGTTACTGTCTCATCAACTCAGCAAAAGTGTAAAAACACAAAAATGTAGGTTCTCCCTGGTGGTGCAGCGGTTGAGCGCTGGCTTACGAAGCTGCCCGCAGCCTCTGCAGCGCCGGTTCGATCCCCGGCTGCTCCCCGGCCACTGGAGGAGGGTCCCACATGGTGTGCAGACCTCTCCTGCCGCCCGCTGCTCCCCTCAGCAGTGTCCTCCGTCTGTCTGCCTGTTCTGCTCTGCTCTCCCCTCTGGCTCTGGTGAATTCTCTCACCCTCCGGCGCTTCTGACTGTACCCAGTGCTTGTATAAATAAATAAAGAAATCTTAAAAAAAAAAAAAAAAAAAACCACGAAAATGTAAAAACTCAGTCTACAGTAAGTCAGAGAAATGGGTGCTCATGTACTGCGCTAGTTGTAATATAAATGGTAAATAGGGAGCAAATGGGGTTGGTGTTTTAGAAGTCTCTACAGTAGATGTCCCTGTGGCTCAGGGTTTCTACATCAAGAAATTTATTACAGAGAAACAGTTGAATATGTCCCCAAATATTTTTATTAGTTTTGGGCTAAGCTTATTCTCAGTATTTGATAGAATGCTTAAAAAATTTTTGGGTAGATGGCACAGAAATAGCTTAAAGTAATAAAAAGCCACTGATAAAAACTGTAAGACACTCACCTTTGTACTATCAGAAGAGTAAAACAGGAAAATTGGGTTAGGAAAAATATGAGAAATTGTTGAAATAATCAAGATATATAACCAGTAATTGAAACACAGCTCAAAGCCAAGATGGGTTGGTCATTGCTTAGATCTTGGGTTGGTATGTATCAGACTAACAGATGCTCTTTCCCCTGACTTCTGCTAGAGTCCCTGCTGGGATAGAGCGCCGCTTTTTAAAGGCTGATTATCAAATGAGGTAAAATAAAATCTAGTTATCTCGTAAATACATGCATCTCTTAAGCGACCTTTTTTGTATTCTAAGGTCACTTGTGAAGGGCTGGTGCATATAGGTTTGTTGTGAGCACTGAAACTTACTGTCTGTGGGGTGTTTAGCTCTACCTGGCGGTGAGTAGTCATTGAGAATTTAGTGATCCAGATGATTACTGAGCGCATATGTTGTGGAAGTCTCGTTTTACTGAGAGAAATTTTTGGTGTGTGATTGAAGGATGGAAACCAGGGGGCTGAGTGACCATTTCCCCATTTTTAAAACAATGTATTGGTGTCAGTGAGACATACTAGGGAAATGATCTATGAAAGTTTGCTGTACTCCCAAAACATAGATAGAGTAACTGGGAGAAGCAGAAGAACTGAAAAAATGGATAAATGTTAGGGTTGCTATCGAAAATAGGCAGTTACTTTTAATTAGTGGGGAGCCAAGAAGACCAGCGGTCTGATGAAATCTGTTAACAGGAGACTCCCCGGCCCAGGTCTCTAAGAAAGCTGTGCTGTTTCCATGTGCTGCCTTCTGAAGGCCTGTTAATGGTGGCTGCACTAGCTGCTGAGCATTCCTGTTACCTCTTAGGTTCTTAAAAGTTCATTGTCTCCCATCTTCCCTCTCTCACCCATTGCAGTGTGATGGCCCTTGAAGTTTGAAAAAATTAGGAAAAATATTTAAAAGTCCTACATAATAGGTAGACTAACCTATAGGTCAACTAACATTATAAAGAATATAGAATGGGTGGATGGAAGCTGGGTTTTTATTTGTCTATATTGAGGCTTTTGAGGGAAGGCAAAACAGCTAGTCCAGAGGGTGGTGTGTGCAGCCCTGTGCAGACTGCCTCTTAGTGAGGGCTCTTGGGTCAGGGCAGAAGTTAGCAGAGCTTGCTGTTGGGATCAATGAAGTGACTGAATTAGTGAGACACAGAATGGGGTTAAAAAAAAAGATGTGCTAGTGAAGACTGGAAAATTGACCGACGCATGCTCCATGTAAAGGCTGCCCTTGTTTCTGAACTTACTGGCAATTTAGGAATGCAGGCCCAATATTCCCAGATTGTTCCCTGCTTGTCCTTCCTCCCGAACTTGAAAATCCTGCTTTTGTGAAATTTCCTGACTTCGTACTTTGTATTTCAAATAAAATATGTTCAGCCTGTGGACTACCATTTTGTACTGGGTGGGTAATTTATCTCTAGGTCTTAATTAGAAAAACATTTTTCATATTTTTAAGATGGACTCTTCTGATTTAGCTTTTGAATGCTAATGAGACTAGTTTAAAAGTCACACTTTGAGTTTTTGTAATTTATGTTCTTTAAGGACATTGATTTAATTTCCCCTGCTCACATCTTAGTGTCTTGGACTAATTTCATATGGGCTAGTGGAATTAGTAAGAAGTCTCAACTGAAGACCTTCGGGTGCCAGTCCTACTCCATCTGAAGGATAAAGTGTCCTCACCCCAAGAAAGCATCTTGGTTTGAACGTGAAGCTGCACACCTCTGCTTACTGAGTCATTCTAGACCACACTTTCCTTTGCCTTCTCCAGAATTTTCGTAAACAGTCTTGCTCTATGAGACTCTTCTGCCGGAATCTCAAAAGCCTCTGGGCTTGAGAGCTTGGGGATTTGACCACATTCAGGTGAAGTCATTGTTTATAAGCACATCTTGGTTTCATTAAATAGAAGGTAGTTCAGAGTCATATTTAGTATCCAGCACAGGGACAGCATTTAGTGGCTTGTTGTACCTGCAGCATACGATACTATATTACTTTGTAGGTCCTGCATTTCATTAGCTCTGATTGACAGACTAAAATCTTATGTCTTGCAGATGCTGTTGATGGAGTGATGAATGGTGAATACTACCAGGTACAGAGTACTCTGATTATGTTGAATCATAGTGGTCAAGAGTCTTCCTTACTTGTAAATTGACTGACTTAGAAAGGACCCCAGTCCTTTGACTTTCCTGGATGTATTAGTAGCTGGTATGTTACCTGCCAAAGTGAAGGGATTTGAAGAGAAGTGACATTAATGAGCATTTTCTAACAATCTCATTGACCTAACACTAACATTAACCTTAGTGTTACCAACTTTATTCTCAAGAAATGACCTTTCATGATGACGATGATGGCTAGTTTGGGCTGTACATTGTGTCAGGCACTGTTTGTATTTAATCTTATTTTTCACAGGCTGAGGGACCTGTATTACCATTTTTCCCATTTTACAGACGAATAAGTTGAGGCACACAGAGGTAAAATCAATTTGTCTAGCAAAGGTAGTATGTGGTAGGGCAAGCATTTGAATCTTCCAGGTTGTATTGGGGGAGGAAGTAACTCGTGTTTGTTTTTTTCCCTTCTGTTACGAAGCTTTCCAGTTGCCAGCCCAACTTGCATTGGCGTAAACAGAGAACTTTATAGTTTATGTAACTGAAAAAACTCTGAGAAGAACTGGTTGTCCTTGGGCCAGGAATCAGACTTAGTTTCTTTAGGACCCTTCTGTCTGCTGTTGGAGGTGGCAGTTGCATGTTCAGCTTGCCTTCCTGGTGGCAAAAGAACTGTAGCTCTTTGAGGCCTCTCATGTTGTATTATCTCAAACAAGATGGCAGTTTGCACTTCTCCCAGTCACCCAGCAAAAGGTCTGCATGTCTCTCTAGACCAGCTGAAAGTAATCACTGTAGCTTAGGAGAAGAATGTGGTGTTTTGCTTATGCTGTGTTTCAGCCCATCCCTAAACTAATTAACTGACAAAAAGGATGACATTAGTTAATTGGGTAAAGCCAAAGGTAGACAAACTTTTTCTGTAAAATAGTAAACATAAAGTCTGTGGGTCTTAAGGTCTTTGTCAAACTACTGTTGCTATAATGTGAAATTAAAAAACAGGTAGTGGGCCGGGACTACAGTTTCCCACCCATAGTTTAGAACCTAATTAGATCTGGATGCAGATCCTGGCCTTATCTCTTATTAGCAGTAAGTTTGGATGTATCATTTCTGTGCCTCAGTTCAATTCACCTGCTGTGAAGGGGCATAGAAACTTGCCTTTCAGGGTGCTTAGGAGATAAAGATTTTATGTTTTTGACTCATGGAAAGTGCCAGTAACTTGGTTAATACTACTGTAAACAGTACTCTTTTGATTTTTGTTTATAGTTTGATTATGTTAACCTAGTAATATTCCCTAGTTCACTAGGTGAAGTAATTCTCTAAAGATTAAATTCTACTTGAGTTTTAACTCGTCCCTAAATCCTACCCGTTCTCAACCCCTCCACACACCATGACTCATATTTGAACTTTCTTCATTCCTAGAATTCACTGTTTTTGATGAGGTGGTATAAAGTAACCTTTTCCCTATTGTGTCATACCATTTAGAAGTCTTAGCTTCTAGTACTTGCTCTGTTGTATGTACCTTGTTACTTTGAAGATATCATAGTCTCTTTCTTTGTCAAGCGAGTAAAGTAAAACTGCTAACACTGTTTTTTAGTAAGTGGATTACCCATCTCTGACTTTTCTGCCTCCCACTCATGTCACATTTATTCACAGGTAATATAACAGCTCTTCTTCTCCCTTGAGGATTGTAGGGATTATGTGCAGTAGTGTTGAAAACTCCCTGTGTACATATCTCAGGTTGTGTTGTTGCTTTTAAGGTAATCCTTTAACAGTTTACAGTAGCCGTCAGTGCTGTACATGACCAGGGGCTTCTAGCTTGGATAAAACACATTTCAGGAAGAAGGTTTTGGTACTGATAGAGTGTAATTGTGTTTTGTATTAAGGAGAGTAATGGTCCGACAGACAGTTACGCAGCTATTTCACAAGTGGATCGATTGCAGTCAGAGCCTGAGAGTATCCGCAAGTGGAGAGAAGAGCAAACGGAACGCTTGGAAGCCCTTGGTAAGGAATCCCTTTCTGGTTTTTGGTGTCTGTTTTCAGTGGAATAGTTGACTCTGCGTTTATCCCTTTTTAACTTGAATTGGGCATAATGGTCTTGTTTAGTATTTGGAAAAACATTCTTTCCCAACCTAAAGGCCTGAAGGCCACCCTTCTGGAGATGCTCACTCACAGGCCGTTGTGTGAGGGTTGGGGTGGCCTGGAGAGTCACTAAGCATTCTTGCTCAGGAGGAGCCAGCTGGTGCTGTGGAAAGAGCTCCAGAATTGATGTGAAAGGCCATGTTCAGACCCATCCTTAACACTTAGCATCTGTGGGCACTTGGTTGCTCAAACATTTGCACAGTCTTATTTCTTCATCTGTGGAGTATAAAATCAGTGTCCCTGACCCCAAGAGTAGTCTGACGGTAATTATGAGAGTGCCTTATAAATTGAAGGTATTATATTCTTGCGAGAGACTGCACAGTCCATTGTCATTTGAAGGCTGAATTTAAGGTAACCTCAGGAGGAAAATGTGAGGTATGTTAAGAAACGTGTACAATTTATTTTTCTTACCTTAATATTCCTGTCAGGTAAGTTTTAGCATTTTTATGGGTGAGGAAAGTGAGGATTAAAGATAGATGGAATCACACAGCTCAGAAGTGGTAGAGTCAGAGTGTCACCTAGCTCTGCCCTGTTTAGAGTCTGCACCCATCCCTTCAGCCACTGTGCATGTAGTGGACATACTGTCTTGTTGCCAGCCAAACCATGTCCGAGATCAGTGCCAGCCAGCCTAGCCCTTGATGAAGATGCGTAAACGGAATATCAGCTGTTGGTCAAGATTAGGTGAGAGTTGGTGTCTGTACATGGTGGGGAGGGTATGGCAGAGTATGGGGGTGTTATCCATAGCGTGTCTTTCTTTAACTTCTTGCTAAAATTTGAATTACAGAACAGTTGAAAGAAGAGTAAAACAAACATCTGTACCTCCTAGATTCCACAATTAACATTTAGCCATTCTGGTTTATTTTTATATAAAGGAGGCATATAAGCACAACTAGAGTTTTGCTTTTTGTTAAAGTTCACTTTAACATAAAGTGAACCAGTCACAACCATCACATAATTCATGCCTAAATACTTTATTGTATTTCTAGAAATTGAAACGTTACTCTGTATAACCACATCAGAGATTCCCTCATGGGAACCACTGAATAGTAAAAACATGTAACTCCTTACTTTTCAGATGGGGTGACTGACACCCAGAACTAGGCAGGGACTTGACCCAGATAACACAAACAATACCTAATCTGCTATCACTCCAGTCCAGTTTACTTAATTTTAATAATTTAAATAATCACATGTGGCTCATAGGCAGTGGCCAGTGCAGTCATAGAAAGATAAACACAGGTCTCCTTGGTGCTAGCAGCCTTGGTCCGTCTTTGTTCTTTGTTTCTCTTCTGATTACACTTTGAGGCAAGACTTAGTTGGTATTCATACTACTGGAGCTTTTTATTTATTTATTTATTTTGAAGTGATATTTTATTTATTTTAAATAAATTTTATTTTATATTCCCCATACAATTGCACCCCCCTTATTTTCACCCCAATCCCACCCCTCCCCCACCCCCCATAGAGTGTCTGGTTCATAGTTTTTTGTTGATTTTGAGTTTCACTTTCTTATAGTTATTCATTTTCCTGGTCCCTTATTTAAGTTTTCTAGATTCCTGCTATGAGTGAGACCATCCGGTATTTTTCTTTTTCTTTCTGGCTTATTTAGCTGCGCATGATCCCTTCCAGCGCCATCCATGTTGCTGCAAATTGCATGTGTTTATCTTTTTTGAATGCTGAGTAATATTCCATGGTGTATATGTACCACATCTTCTTGATCCAGTCATCTATTTTTGGGCACTTGGGTAGTTTCCAAAGCTTAACTATTGTAAACAGTGCTGCTATAAACATAGGGGTGCGGGTGCTCTTTGGAACTGATGTTTCTGTGTCCTTTGGGTAAATACCTAGGAGTGGAATTGCTGGATCAGATGGAAGCTCTATGTTTAGTAGGCCCAGAAGTCTCCACACAGCCTACTGGAGCTTTTTAAAATGTTTTTTCTCTTCCCAAAGCTTAGCAAAATTGTCTTGTCCATGGAGAGAGAATACTTTGGTGCCCACAGAAGTTGCATTTTCATTTTCAGTTATCAAATTGGGCACTTTGGGAATAGTTTTAAGTCAAGATGCCTCCCTGGGGGAACTCAAACCTTTTCCCCTTCTATTTCAATTGAATTAAATTGGTCCATGAACTAGGTGTTTCTTCAGTTTCACCTTTTTTCCTTGTGAGAACTGTGAGAAAGCGCAAGATGCTAAAAGTAGAGAACCATGTCACTGGTTTTAGCTTAAGTGATTGCCACATTCTCATATTCTTCACGTTTCTGTGAACATTGAGGGAGGCCTCAGGAGGAGACAGCTGCCAGCACCCCTGCTCTCTCCTTCTCTTCCCTTCCCTTTCCCAGATTCAAAGAGATCGCATTAGACTTGCATTCTTTCTCCCTTCAAGCTCCTTCAAGCTGAGCATTTAAGAATTCTAAATTCTGGGTCTCCCTGGTGGCCTAAGGGTTAAGTCTCAGCAAAATCACCGCCACAGCCGGAGTTTGACCCCTGGCCAGGGAGCTAACCCACATGGCACAGTAGAGCTCTCCTGTCTTGACTGCTGTTCCCCTCAGCAGTGTGTTTCAGTTGATCTGCTTGTTCTGCTCCCCACTCAGTCTCTGGAGAATCCCCTCACACCTCTGGCCTGCACCCCAGTTCGTCTATGCAAAAAACAAACAAACAAACAAAAAGCTAAATTCTTATTGCTAGTATCATTTTATAACTCAGTAAAAGAAAAAAATAATTTAAAGGGGCTGTTTTATGTAGTAACTACAGTTTGCAGCTGGTCAGTTTTTATTTAAATTAGTTTAATTTTTCAGAGATAAATTTCCATATTTGATGTGTGATATTCTTTCCTAATAAAAATGATCATTAGAATATGTTGAAAGAAGTCTCCACTCAAAAAGTAATTTTTTGGAAGTAATTTCACCACCTTGAAAATGAGACACAATACACATTTTAAATTTAGTGCGTCTCAGTTTCTTCTCCATATGGCACCTCCAGCCCACAGCATCATCTCTCAACGCTTCTCAGAGCTCTCCACTCCACATACTCATTTCTGCCACAGACAGATGCATATCAGAACCTTACTCTATATAGTCAAGTGGGAAATCCAAGTGAAATAATTCTCCTGATAGAATCACCTTCTGATAAATGGTAGATATGAAGTTCTTTATAATTTGAATGTTCTAGCTGCTCTTAACTAGCAGTTTCTAGTAGTTGGAGACACTGCCTTCTACAGGTGAGCACTGTAACCCTTGCATTTCTGGCAAGGGTCCCAAAAAGGCCCGAGACTACTTCATCTCGTCCCTTCAAGTAGACTCTGGCCTCATCAACACAGACTGCAGCTTCGGCTCTGGCTGTGGCTCTCTACTGACTCCTGTCTGGATCACTGGTGACCCCCTTCTAGTCACATCTTGGGGATTATTTCTAAGCTTGCCTCCCTTTCCGTCCCTCTGGAGGCAGCTTACTGAAGTAAGAATGCACTAGTCTCAGACCTGGGCTTTAATGTTGGCTCCGTCACTTACTAAAACCTTTAGGAAGAGGAATCAAACTCTGTAAGCTATAGTTTTTCTCACTGCTGAGCGTGGAACTGGAGTTGAGTTCTTAGAATTGTTATAAGTTTTAAATGAGATGTTGCTAAACACTTGCTAGATGTCCTTAAGGCCGAGTTTAAAGTAACATCAGGTGTCTGCTGCAGCAATAGCTGTGGCCTTTATTTCTCTCCCACTGTCTACTGACAAGTGTCTCTTTAGCTGAATGTCTCAGGAAAGCCCGTGTTTAGTGCTCAGACAATTCGTGCTTGAGACTCCAGTCTGGCAAGCCTGAGAGATGTGCATTTTCTAGCATTCCTTGAATTTTTGGTTACCTGTTAATGATTTCCCTTTCTCACCCCCCCCCCCCCACAGTTCTCGTCATAGGAGTTTCACTTTGTTCTGTGCTGGCTTTGTACAAACTCATCCTGCGGTCTAAGTACGAATAGATACTCTGGCCCCTGTAATGCTCTGTTATTTCCTGGTTCCTGAATCATCGCTAGTAATTTTCCTAATAGTTCTCTGGCTCATAGAAGTGCTTCTACCATATTCAAGAGGGCCACCTTATATTTTAAAAAAGCATTAATTGTCAAACCCCTAGAATAGTTTGTGAGAAGAGTTATCAATAGGTTATCTAGTATCCATCCTGAAATAATGACAACATTACTAAAGAATCACCTGTAATTGCTTTTTCCCCAGTTGGTGCCCCCAAAAGGATTTTTACCTATTAAAAGTCAGTATTTCTACCACTCCCCATAAACCACCACCCCACCCCCGCTAGCTCTCAAAAAACCAGTGATCCTGTAAGGTGTCAATGGACTGAGGTGACATGTGGTGAGGCACTGGGAACAGGAGACTCCCAGAGCTGGGTGTGCAAATGGAGAAAATGAGCTTTTCCCTCCTTGCTCTGCCTGCACACAGTGTGCGTTTGAGAAGATAAACAGATGAAATGAACGTCAGTTTCTGTTTTGCCTCAGTTATATGGTCTTTTTTCTCCTTTCAAAGATGCCAACTCTCGGAAGCAAGAAGCAGAGTGGAAAGAGAAAGCGATAAAGGAGCTGGAAGAGTGGTACGCGAGGCAGGACGAGCAGCTACAGAAAACAAAAGCAAACAACAGGTTAGTCCATGCTGGTGCTGACACAGCTGGGTTTCGAGGATTTAATCCCATCCATTTCCAGCAGCCAGTGTAGGGGCTCAGCTGCTGCCTCTTTTAGGGTGAAATGTCTTTGCAGATTTTTACAAGTGCTTGAAGCAGAAGGGTTGCACGTCTCTTGGGTCTTGTGAGTATAAGTCAGCCTGTGATTTAGCCATTCCAGCTGGAGGGAGCTCAGCTCAGCTGAGAGCTTGACTGATACGCATCGCAGCAGTGGTGTGACCCATCAAAAGGAAAGTCACTTCTTGCATCAGGTCCATCTGTAAAAATGTCACCCTGAAATGAAAGGTCGCTGTCATGAATGTGCCAGCATTCCAGTACTCGGGGGATGATTACAGCCATGGTTATATTGCATATCGTGAGGACAGCCCTATTCTCCGAAAGCTGCATTGTGAAGAAGGGTCCATTAGCAGGAAAATGTGCTTTGTAATTAGATTGCTGGGATGTTCCAGCAAAATGACATAAGAATTAATGGTTTTCCTGGTTTTTATCTGTGCTTAAGAAAATATTGAGTTAACTTTTTAAAAATGGCCTTTTCAGAATTTACCCACTCACTGAAGGCTAAGGAGCTATGGAGAGAAAACACATTTGGTTTTCATCACCGCTGGCCAGCAGCTTTGGTCTGTAATGCGCCTTGTGTAGCTCAGAGGGGCAGAGGCAACGCTGCTTGCCTCTGCCGGGCTTGCTCCCCCTGCTGTGTTCAGACCCCAGCTGTGACTGGACAGCCACACTGCTCACTTCAGTGTGTATATAGGCCAGACCGGACCGCGGGTAAAGAGCTTTAGGTTCCTGGCATCACAGGCAGCAGGGGTCAAGGTGCCTTTATAACTCCAGCAGCTCCAGCGGATGCAATTCCTCCAGCGAAGTGTGAACTGACAACTATAGCAGAACAGATGGGCTTTTACACATAGCAGCCTTTAGCTACTACTTTGGCCATACTTGGCCAAAAGTTCTGTCAGCTTCCCTCTGGGTGCCATACTCAAGCCTCCTTCCTGGGGGATGCACTCTCAGGCATGGCTGTTGGCATCTCTGACAGGTATGGCGATGGCCATTCTCTTGTCTGAGTGTCAAGCTCCTGAGGGTGGATCAGCTGCCGGTGTGTCTGCTGAGCTGGCGGTTAATATGAAGTGCTGGCAGGTTGTTGCATGCCCTGTGCTTGTTCAAGGTGCTTCCCAGATGCACATCTCTAAGGAAAGGTGACAGGTGCTTGGTGCAAATACTGTGTGAGGCTGTTATCCACAGGCTGCCTCCGTGGTGCTGCTCTGAAGTGGTTGGTATAATCAGGCTGACCCTTCTGGTTTGGGGGCCCTGAGTCAAATTTCAGAGTTCAAAAATGATTGTAGACATGTTTTTAAACCAGATTTGTTAAACTGTATCCCTTCTGTAAAGAAAGGAGTCTTTCTGGCCACAGTATCAGCTGTCCTTAGGATGATCTTAGCTATTTTTAGGAGCGCAGTCTTAAGACGTTAGTCCCTGCAGACACTGATTTGGGACGTTGGTATGTTTCTTTACTTGGGATTGTAGAAGATTGGGTTGGATGGATTGATCGATGAATCCCAGAAGTTCAGAGAACTCACCACTTTCTAAGAATGGAGAGCTATTTAGAAACGGGATCACTTGCTGTGTGGAAAACTCTCAGCCAAGGGCAGGACCCTGAGTATGTGCAGCTAGTGGCACACTAGCTTCATGGACAGAGGGATGTTTCCAATGATTCTTCAGAGGGAGCCATTATAGAAGCACTTTGGGAGACTTCTTTCAGGGGCATATCCTTCCCCTGGAGATTTCGGTAATGCTGACTGCTTCCCCTCCCACATTTGATATTAAATTTTAAAGTCCTAATCCTATATGTAAAGTGACTCTTCTTTCTCCTTGTCTATAGGTGTAAGTGAATATCGTAAGAAAGTTAGGGTGCTAATTTCCAGCAAGTGTCTTTCTCCCTGGATGTTTAAGGGGACCACAAAGATAAGATAGAAAGAGATATTTGAAAGAGGAGACTGGGGCAAGGTAGGGTCTATTTTTGAGAATATCATTAAGCTTCTTGACTTCCAGATGCCCTCACCCAGAGCCTTGGGAGCACATCTGTACCAGGCACTGCTAGGTGGGGGCGGGGGCAGATGAAATCAACAGACAGCCTTGCCCTCACAGTTTAGTGTCCTCAGATTGCATCTCCCTCCTTTATCCCAAGTTGGAGCCTATATGTCTTACACAGAAGCCATGAATTACTAAGTGATGGCCAGTGGAAAAGAATTCTCTTTTCATAGGAGCCAGTCCGAAGAGTCATTGGCTCCTACAGTTGGATAATTTTACTGATCAAGAATATGGCCCCAGCCCATATTCCTTTCCAAACCACATCAGAAACACCCCCAATTATAGGTAGCTTTGTGCAGACCTCTGTCAAGTCTTGCAAAAGCTTGCAGAATCTATGGTTCTCAGTGATGGTAGACATTTTTTCCCATGCCCACTCTGGTCTTGAAATGTCTGTGGGCCTCTTGAGTGCCCTGGGGTGGGACCTGAAGGCGGTCCTCTTTCTCCCCCTCCCTGGATTCCCTTGTCTCACCTGAAGGTTGCTGCCCTCAGGCCCCTCTCTTGTTTATTTTTTCAGGCCCCCTTGACTAGAGGGTGAAGAACAAACAGGTCAGGGGCTGCCTGTGTTTGGCGTGTATGGTTTTCACTTCCCTCTGTGGCTGTCACTTTGACAGGGCAGTGTTGGCACCGACACTTTAGTCTTGGGGCTTACTGCAAAGGAGCTAGAGCCCCTGACATTCAAGCTTTTTGATGTCTTAGAGATGCCTTGACAGGAGTCTTGGAACCTTTATTTTCTTCCAACAGAAGTGAGCACAGTTGAAATCCGTTAGGTTTAGTCCTTTGTGTAAACTACAAGGATTATGGGTTTACAAGGTGCCTGCCTTTCCTTTCCCTCCCACTCATTCTGCCCACAAACAACTCTTTTTTTTCTTGCTGACTCACTTTGAGTTGCAGTCAGGCTGTTCCTTTTGCTTTCTTTAAATTTCCACAAAACCAAAATGGAAAAGAAGGGTATGTGTGAGTTTAAAAATAAACTGAAAATTACTAGAATTTCCCTTCAAATAAATGTAGCACTTAGGTTAATGACCAAGCATGATTGTCTATAAAAATGCCTTTTCTACTTCCATGCCCCAGACTAACCTGGCAAAGGACAGGGTAGGGATTCCTAGAGGAAGGGTCCCTGCCCACCCACAGTAGACACTATGGGCTGGTTGGGCTCCAGAATTCAGCCAGGGACAAGACAAAGCCTGTTTCCTGCAGTGTAAACTCTCTACCCAGCATGGCCCCCTTCATGAAGGTTCCAGATCCCTACCTTCTTGATCCAGTCCTGATGTGAGAGTTGAGGGCGGAAGTCCTGGCCTCTGAGCTGTACCTTGTGAAAGTCAAGTCTGGCACAGACTGCCGGCATGGTAAGGGATACAGAGCTAGAGCCAGGATCTTCATCTACAGGTTTTTCCACCAGCCCATTAGCATTTTTATCTTAAGGTGGGGAGTCTGAAAGGACCTGTATTCCCAGGAGACTGAAAATTGATCCCATCCAGCCAGTGTAGGGAAGCAGTAGTCCCAGCTACAACTGGCTCTGGGACCTGTGGCATCTGGTGTCTGGCAGCCTCCATGCCCAGTGGTGCTGACTGGGACTGTCAGAAGGGTAGCCTGGTTTCCTGAGCACACGCCAGCTGGGAAGAAGCGTTAATGTAGAATGAGGAGAGCCAGGCAGCTTGGGTTGAGTTCCGCCGGCGCCACTTGTGTCTGAATTGCTTCATCTCTAAGCGTCGGGCAGTGCTCAGAGCCCTAGGTTGTTAGGATTGAGGAGCAAATCAACATAATGTCTGTAAAAGGGCTTAGCCCATAAGTGGGTGCTTATGAAATGCTGGTTGTTGCTGGGTGAGGCAGCGGGAGGGGGTGAAGCTGGCAGTGTCTACACTGGAGCATCCTGGTGGCGATGGCCAGCGGGAGAGTTGCCCCTGCTGGGGCCTCCAGCACTGAAGCCTGCTGGGTTAGGACGGAGCCTTGGGAGCAGCTCTCCAGAGCACATGTGAGCCTCTACTGTGGATTTCAGATGTTTCTGCTTCTCAATGTTCTCTCTTTTTTCCTGCCTGCTTGCCTGCCTTTTGGACCTCTTGCTGTCTAGGGTGGCAGATGAAGCTTTCTACAAACAACCCTTCGCTGACGTGATTGGTTATGTGTATGTTGCAAAACTAATTCCTTTTCTTTTGATTCTTTTTACTTTTCATTTAGAATTAATGCTCCTTTTATGTCACAAGTTTCTTTGCTTTTTAAATTATTTCAAATTGGCACTGTGGGGGCTGCCTACAAGTTGATAAGCTGGGGGTGTGATCCATTGATTGTCTTGCAGAATCATGACGCCCTTTCCAAATGTGGGTCATTCATGGTCTTGTCTGGGCAGGCCTTGGGGCAGGGGTGGGTTCTGACCTGTTGCTGCCCCCACTGCTGCTTGCCTGCTCCAGGTGGGAAGGCAAAGTCTCGGGCTAAGGAGCCAGTGAGGGCAGCATTTTCTGCGCTTGATTCCTTTGAAGAACAAGGGTTGGTAGCCTCTTCCTCAGAGCAGAGGGTGGTCCCCATGTAATCGTCTATGGTTTTCCATGTTGGAAATTGTTTAGTGGCCAGTGTCTGATGCCCTGTCTTAGCTTCCCTGACACAAAAGACCCCCCCTGCAACTTTGAGGTCAAGATAGCCAAAGCTGTCTGATATGGGCCTCCTTGGCCTCCCTCAAAGAAAACTGCATATCCTCTGGAAAAGCTTTTTATTTAAAGGATGTTGCTATCGAAGCATTATTAATGAAGACTTGGAATCAGCTCCTGCTGCTTCCGCCTTAAAAATTAGAACTAGCTTTGGCTGTAGGGAGCTGAGGGCGGATGGATGAGGAGGGTGGGCAGTAGGCCGAAGTCTGTAGCACCTCCTAGGGACTATGTCCTGATGCTCCTCCCTTTGAACTTTGGATACAGAACTGGGTTTCCTGGGCCCCCAGATGCATTTGCAACGAATCTCGTGAAATGCTGGACTTACAGGTGGTGTTGGATCTGACTTTTGCACATTCTCTCTGGAGTAGAAGTGGAGACTGGAAAGGTCGAGTCTGGGTTTGCTGGGCGGCGGGGTGGCCCAGCAAAGCCAGCTGCACGTTCCCAAGCGTAGAGTGAGTGGCAAGGGCATGTCTAGCTTACTGACCATCTGCATTGAGCTCATTCTCATTTTCTATATCTGACCTAAAGTTTCTCCTGTTTCTTTTCTTCTCTTCACCTTAAGCACAAACATAAACCATCCTTGCTACAGCCTAGAACAGTTAAGTAAACCTTTCTCACTGCCCCTAACTGTGTGTGCCATGAAGTTGCAGTGTTGTAGTGGCTCTGGGCTTCAGCGGTGTCTGCCACGGCCATCCCTGTGAGAGTGCCACCCTGTCCCCACAGACCAGTCATCTCCATTGCTTTTGCTTTGCCCGTGATGCTTGTTGGAGTAGATGAATATAGTGTGTCTTCCTGCCTCCTACCAATGTCCTTTCGGCTGTAGCTCCCACCAGTTTAGGTCTCAACTGGGGGGTGGGCTGACCTTGTCGTGAAAGAATGTTGAAGCAGCATCTTCCCCAAAGCCCTCCCATGGGTTGGCTCTCTAGCCATCTGGCGTCCGTCCCCGCCCATGGGCCCTGAGCGGCCCAAGGCACCTGGCTGGAGGGGAAATGACCAACTTTTGGCTGAACTGGAGAATGTCCTAACAAACCCCCTTCCAGAATGGCTTGACTCTCTAGTGCCTGCTAGCATGGAAGCTTTGTCTTGAATTCCTTTTGATCTGCCTCTTTCTCGCCAGCCTTAGGAATACATCCAGAGGCTATCGTGCAGTGACCTGTGCGCATTTCAGAAGTCTCAAAATTTACTTGAAACTCAGGGCCGCCCAACATGAACTACTGCTTAAGTTCTTGATCAGCCTCCTGTCTTGCTCTTGTTAATGAAGGCAGTGTGTCGCTGGCCAAGGACTTGCTTTTTTTTTTAATGCTCTGTCTCGACAGAGAGAGAGAGAGAGAGAGAGAGAGAGCCCTGAACCAAACACCTGTATTCCAACATTTTACACAGCACTCCAGGCACCTAGTGCCTAGGGGAGCTAGCCACGTGTCTGCCCTAGACCAGGGGCTGTTACTCTTTGGAAAACCAGAAGGCTGTTAAATCTGGCATAGAGAGGCAGTTGCTTTTTGTAACAAGGCAGTGGCCACATAGCTGAGGGGAGGTTCTCCAAACCAACATACTTTGTTGTTGCTTCCAGGGCAGCAGAAGAAGCCTTTGTAAACGACATTGATGAGTCATCCCCAGGCACTGAGTGGGAACGGGTGGCCCGGCTGTGTGACTTTAATCCCAAGTCCAGCAAGCAGGCCAAAGACGTCTCCCGCATGCGCTCTGTCCTCATCTCCCTCAAGCAGGCCCCCCTGGTGCACTGAAGAGCCACCCCGTGGAACACTACATCTGCAATATCTTAATCCTACTGAGTGAAGCTCTTCACAGTAATTGGATTAATTATGTTGAGTTCTTTTGGACCAAACCTTTGTCTTTAGAGTTGATCATTGTTTGTGATTGCATGTTTCCTTCAACTGTGTTCTCCCTGGCATTCTGAGAGGAGGGGGAGGCGGCGGAGGAAGAGAGGGAAGCCTCCAACGGTAGCCTCAGCCTGTGCTTTTGTGCATTATTCTGAGAATAAATTTCTGTTTCAAGCAATAAACATAAAGCTTCTTTATTGACCTCAAGATCTGCTGCTCTTTGGAGTGAGGTTGAAAGGGATGCAAATTTCCTTTTGGCATTTCTAGCTCCAAGTTTTGATTGTTTGTAGAATTCTGTGGGCGTTTTCATTTGGAAAGGGCGTTCCATTACTACAAGTGCATCCCTCGTTGCCCACCTAACTAACAGAGGTATGACCCCCCACCTCAGCATAGACTTTTCCCCCAGTGGCTCATATCTCGGTCCCTTTCTCTAAGATCTTGTAATATGTTGCCGATGGAACCTATCTGGGGGTCTGGAGACTTTTTCCTATAGATCTGCCCAGTAAACCTGAGTCAGGAGGGCATTAGCATGTGGTTGGCCCATTACTCGGGATGCCTGTAATGTGTTGGGGTCTGTGCTATCCCTGGCACTTGGCTCTTATTTCTGTTGTCAAATCCTTCATCTAGACCATGCTCGCCAGTACACTAGTCACTGGACACAGTGACAATACATTCCTGAGATATGTCACGTGCTCAGTGGCCACATGTGGTTGATTAGGTAGCATCCAGATTGGATGCACAGTGTGGCCTTCAGAATGTCTCCATCCCAGGAAGTTGGGAATTGCTCTGATTATACAACAGGTGCCTCTGGGATGCTGCTCATTCAGGCAGCAACACATGATCTGCCCTCAGGACCTGGCACATTTTTTTAGATCATTGGTTCAAGCACTGCATTTCACTAATCTGCTTATAGTTACCTGATTTTTACAAGTTGAAGACTGAGGTAAGTTCCTGTGGTACCACATCCAGGAACGCCTGTGCCCAGCTTACCTTTGGCCACGCCGTCGCCAAGAAGGAAAGTCCATCTTCTCTCTTGTGGTAGTTACATCTGCAGAGGAAAGGACCCTTCCTTTTTTTCCTGTCTTCCCCCTTTCCAAGCTTCGTAAGTTAGGTGTTCCTTATGTCCTAGCCCGTATCACTGGCCTTTTTGCTCGTTCATTCTGTGTAGCCACTTCTGATTGTAATCGAGCACTTACTCACTGTTGTCCATTCTTTACTTTTGGGCCTTAATAGTGCCACTCAAAATGTCAAAATCCATTTTAAAAAGTAGCTCAAAGGCCACCTGTACAGTGCCTTCCCTAGTCCCCCCCCCACCCCCACCCGAACACCCGCGGTGATCTACGTGGGGCTGTTCACCTTTTGGTATTGTCTTGGTGGTTTTGCTTCCCACACCAGATGGACTTCTTGAGGACAGATGTGGCAGTTTTTTAAAAGTCAGTAAAACCTCTGACATCCCGCAGAACAAGAGGTGAAGAGGTGCTCGGATAACATAACAAAAGCAATCGTGCTATGTGACTTCCCAGACTAGGTTGCGAAAGGCAGATCAGCTTACGGCTGGTTTGTTGAACACTAGCTGGTAGCCCCTCAGCACCATGTGAAAAATGACCGCCTTGAGGCCTCCACGCTTTAAGGAAGCCCAGACAGGCCCACAGAGACCACATGGAGACCCTGAAACTATGTGCAAAGAGATGTCTAGAGCATCCCAGCCTCCTGTTGGCCCAGCACCAACTCCTGGCCCACAGAGGCCATAAGAAAAAATTAGAGCTGGAAGCCTCTTGAGTTTTGTTACACATTGTAGTATCTTGGGAATTGTTTCTCATGTTCTACATTACCCATGTGGGCTTCATAAAGAGGGATTTGGCTATGGGCTTAGTGAGTGTTCACCATTTAGTTTCAAACTTTTTTTTAGGGCCACTGTGCTATTCCTGTCAAATTTTAGAAGTCACTTAATGGCTTTCTATTCATCAGATTATTTTGGTTGAGAGAGCAGTACTAGATACCTTCAAAAAGTAATAGGACCTTCAAAAAGTAATGCAACAATATAAATCTCTTCTGGGAAGGGGAATGCTTTTAGTTGAAACAAAACACACAAAAAACCTAAGATTTCCACAAGGAAATGTATTTATTTTTTTCTTTATAATTTATCTCAGAACAGCAACATAAAGATATTTACATTAAAATAAATTAAGGTGATTATGTAATAATTGTAAAAACTGAGAATTGGTTTTAGGTTCAGTATCATCCTTCCACATATTTGGTGTAAAACTTGGCAGCAATGCAATCTTCTGGCCTGCAGAGTGGTTACGGAGTCCACCAAACACCTGATCCCCTTCCCAGCACACTGTCTTGCCCTAGACACTGATGACCAAGCAAACCAGCTTCCTTCCCAGGGATTGCCATGGAATGCTGAGATGACCAGGACCTGGAGATTATTTCACGGTTCTTGGAATTAACCAACTTACCAGCAGGAAGTTAACCCACATTAACCCAGCAGGAAGTTAAGTTCACGTCCTTCACTTAGTTTTGATTCCTTCACGTAGTTTTATATGCTAACACTGAGAACGTGTTACGGAAACCTTCATATTTTCCTAAAATAACAATCTGAAAAACATGCACATATGCTTTTTTAGATCATCTGAGAGTACCCCCAAAGACCTGCGACTAGACCAAATACTGTATTGGCAAAATCTCCACTGCATAGAGGACTATTTGATTAAATTCTCCGCTGAGGGAGAATTCATGCAAATGAGATTCTTACTAAAGCTTCTGGTAGCCTGGAGCAAATTAGGAAATACACGTTTTTGAAAGTTTTTGAGAGGTGGTGTGGCTTAGCAAAAAGCACAGAGGAACCTGGGATCAAACCCTATCTGTCTCAAAAACTCACTAGCCACAAAGCTATAGGCACATTAACTCTTAGTTTAAGCTTCTATAAAATGGGAATTAAAACATCTACCTCACAGGTGGTAAGAATTTAGAATAATGTATATGAAGCACCTAGTTCAGAGCCTGGCACAGAATAGGCACTTAATAAACAGTAGATATTAGTAAAACACTGCACCTTAATCTTTTTTAATCTATTTTTTTCCTTTTGTGTAGAACAACTGGGGTATAGGCCAGAGGTGCAGGAGGTGAAAGCATTCACCAGAGTGGGGAGCAGAACAGGCAGATCTACTGAAATACACTGCTAAAGGGAACAGAAGACGAGACAGGAGAGGTCTGCTGCGCCGTATGTGGGTTAGCTCCCTCACCAGGGAGCAAACTGAACTCAGACTGCAGCGGTGATAGTGGTGAGACTTAACCCCTAGGCCACCAGGGAAGCCCAAACACTGTATCTTGATGTATGTGAAAGCACAGACTCTTATTTAGCCAGGATCCAGAGTTACGTATGTGAGCTCTCGGTATGACACACACACACACTGCTTTAATAGACTCTCCGGAGTCATATGCCACATAGTAAGAAATGCTATTGAAGGGAGAGGTATCTGCTTTTCAGCAGCAAAGATCCCTTTGGGACAACTAATCACCTTTCAGGGACTGCGTCCTAGTGGCCTCTTAGCTGCCCTTAAGTGATAAGGACAAGAACACTAAAGCCGCAGTAATTCTGATCCCAGGTCTAAACCTTATTCACAAGTTCTGCTAATAATAGTAATAACAACATATTTGAACAAGTAACATTTGGGGGTTACTGATGTCCAATTTCTTGATTGTGGTGATGGTTTCACAGGTATATACATATGTCAAAGGTTATCAAATTGTATGCTGTTAAAAATACCTCAATAAAACTGTTTAAAAAAATTTACTTACGCCTGTCATGGTGAGATCTTCTGTTCCCTGACTGGATCCCTTTTTGCAATCTATTTAGGCTCAGAGAAGGAAGGATTATTAATCCAAACTCCAGTATCGACCTCACATGCTGAGCAAGGTACATTTAATCAGCAGAACTCTAAGGCTTCCTGTTCTACTAGCTATTTTTGGCACAGAAAACTGTGACTGGTTTTGAGCTGAAATGATCCCAAAAAGAGCAATGTCTACAAAAATGGGGCTTAAGGAAGGCGATTTTGGAAGAGGAGACAAAAAGCAAAAAATTCTCTGCCAAAGTTGCCTGCCAAATACCAAATTAAAATACCAAATTTGCTTTTTAAGAAAAGCTCGTCTAAAAGACAACCTGAATCCACAAAGGAGCTCTTGAGTTTTGGTCCACATCCACCCCAGGGAGGCCTAGTAGACCCTGCGGGTTGTGTAGTCCAGAACCATGCTGGCGGCACCAAGGAGGGCGGGATCAGCCAGATCCGAGGCCACCACGTCCACGTCCTGGACAGACGGGAGGGCTTGCTGGCGGATGACATCCTTGACAATGTGAATATAGTGGCTGGCAAGGACTCCAGACAGGATGACCAGGGAAGGGTTCATGGTATGCAGGATGTTCACAACCCCAAGGCCCAAAGCTGTTCCAGCTACAGGAACACAAAACAAAAGTTTCAGCGAGAGTGCCAAAACAAAATGCCAAAGAACAGTTAAATCAGCAACAGTTAAATCCACAGTCAGCAACAGTTAAATCCATTCACACTGTCTCATGGAAAGCAGGATTTCAAAGAATGTTCATGCCTTAATGTGAGCAAAAAGGATCATAGAATACTTTGAATGAAAGGCTGGGTGTAAAATTGTGCATACTATACGGTGTCAATTATGTAAAAAGCAGACTGGAAGGAAATGTTAAGTGCCAGATCTCTGAAAGGTAAAACTCAAAGTGATACTTTTGCTTTCCTATAGTTCTCTAAATTTTCTATAAGAAGAGCCAATGGTTTTTTTTCATAGTTGAAAACCTGATAAAAGGCAGTGCTGCTGAACACCTTGAATGAAATTGCCTTTATCTTGCAATGAGCAGGAAAAATACTTCTGAACAGACATTCCCGAGCACTGGTCCCGAGGGAAGCGAGGTAACTAGGAGCCCAGCCCATGTGGCTGAGCTGCTGGGAGCCACACACTCACCTGTTCTCAAGATGCTCTGGGCCTTCACATTGCCGAGTTTTGCCGCTTGGATAAGATGGAGGGCACCCACGGCTTCATCTTTTGGCACTGACATCCCTTCCACCAAGAGCAGGTCTTCTGTTTGAGCAGAGGAAGGAGAAGCAGTCATTAATGAGCTGTGGCAGCCCTATAGGGAGGCCAAACTTTCAATCGTGCCTGTGGGCAGCTAGACCCCAAGTGAGAACATTTTCTTTTCACATTTGCAAAGCTGCTTCTCATTCAGATACTCACATACATCCTCAGAGGCCTTGGCTGCTATAAGTCACCTAATACTTCCCACCCACTAGCAAATCCCCAACTCTGACCAGAGCCTTCTTCCCCTCTAGCTCTTTCACTTCTTTTTTTCCACATGAACAGAGTCCTTGAGGTGCTTTCTGTCCGAGGTGCAGTGCTGCTTGCTTACTCATGCCTCACAGCCCGGGAGGAAATACACAGCCCTAAGGGGCAGCTGCTGACCTGGACTCTGCTGCTGGCTCTGCCACTACTAGCCGCCCAGTCCTGTCCATACACATCACCTCTGATGTCTCCTCTACAAGAATGGGGCAATAAAAGCTACCGCAGAAGGATTATTTTGTGGGTTAATACCTGCCCTGGCAAGATAATCTTCAAATTGAGATAACAGACATAAAGTACTTAAGTGCTGGTTCAAGGAAATCCTAAACAGTAGGTATTTCTCTTGTTATCTATATTTCTTGTCTTTCTACCAGTCACCAACCCAGATTGATCTGCCTCTTCACCTGCTATTATACTTGGGTATGATGGGAGAAAAATCCCCAGCCACGCAGACTGCTACTTAGGCACCAACTGGTCTCCTCTTTTTCTGGAGCCCTGACAGCTGCCCTGGTCCACTCTTCCCCCATTCTTCTAATTCATTGCTCTTCTTCATCTCCTCAACCCTACTTCCACTCTTACTACCAAGCAGTTTTCCATATTGCTGGTATCTTAAAGGACACTACCATGGACTATCCTTACCTGCAAACATGTATGCGTTTGCACACCTTTGTTTCTCCTTTCCCTTGCATGGTGCTCTAACCTGCTGGGCTTTCAGATCACCTCTTCTTGCCTCTCCAGGGGCCTTGCTAGGACCTGACCACGCTTTCTCACCTTTATTCTGAAGCTTCCCTTCCAGTCTCACTGTCTCCTTACCACTGGTCGTGCTCACAAATTCCATGTCCTTAAAGCATTTCTTCCCTCTTGCTCAGTATTATGAGGCTTCTGTTCCAATTGTTTGACTGAACTTCATTCTTGGGACACCCATTTGTTCCCGAGGGTTGCTTGTTGGGGGCAGGAAAAACCATCTTAATCTTTTTATACAGATGGTATACTAACAGAGAATTTATCTGTGGCATTGAAGTTTCATAGGATGGAATAATTAGGAAAATATGTTTGAACAACCTTCTAAGGGAGTGATAAAAACAAGCACCATTTTTAGGACTTCAGATGATGCTGTAATGGCCCAAGCTGAAGAACTTTCCTAATTTTATCTTCCCCATAAGCAGCATTTCATACTATTGACTTCCCTCCTTGAAACACTTCCCCTTTTGGCTCTGTGACCTTCCCTTTGCCTGGTTCTCCCTGAATTTCCAATGTTGATGTGTTTTCCAGAATTCCATCCTCGATCTTTGCCTAATTCTGGGCCTCATTCATAGGTGCATTACCACCTCAAAACTTTTGATGCCCAAATCCCTGCCTCTAGCCCTGACAACTCTCCTGAGCATCAGTCCCTGGTTGCCAGCTGCCTCCTCCACATTTCCACTTGGAGGTCCCACAGCCTCCCAATCATCATCTTCCACTAAAACCTGTGCCTCCTCTTCTATTTCCCACCTTAAGCTGTCCATCTAGAAAACTGGTCGTCACCCTTGAGTTGTCTCACTTAAAGCTATGCTCCATCTTCCATCCCCTTCCAGAAAATGAAGTTAAAAACTTAGTGAAGAATCTGAGATTCAAATCTGATCATGACTTCCAATTTTTTCAACGATTTCTCCATTTAATTGCTGGTTCCGATTTACCTCCTGTTATGCTACATCCGGCCATGCCTTTTATGCACCAACACCAGTGTTCCCCATGCTTCAGAGTGCTCCCTTGCTCATCCAAGCATGCCCCGCTAATTCTGTTTACCCTCTAACTCACACACCCCAGGACAGCACCTATGGCTCCTTTCCCTGTGTGGAGAGGGCAGAGGAAGGAGATATTGGACCAAGGACAGTTCACTGCTTCCATGTGAGGGAGGCCCACTTTTCCTCCAGGAAGTTAAAAGGTTAAAAGTTCTAGCTTCAGTGTTCAGCTGTCTTTGGTACTTGTACTTGACCACCATTTGGCTATTTAATTCCTCAGGAAAAAGAAACTAACCATCATGTAGTTTTTTTGCTTCTCTCTGCAAGGCCATTCCAGAGGCATAGGCTTCAATACAGCCATGGCTTCCACAGGAACAATCAGGCCCATCCAGGGACACAACAAGGTGGCCAAGTTCTGCCGCACAGAAGGAGCTTCCATGGATCAGTTCGTGCTGATGGATGATCCCACCGCCAATTCCTATAGTGAGAGACATCAATCATCAAGAGGGTTCTACATCCAGCATAGAAAACTGTGATATGGCATCTGTTCAACAAAGCTTTAGAATCTAAAGTTCATATAATGCCTACTTTTCTAGATAATGAAAACTTACTAAGTACTAAAACTATTTGGAATCATCTCGGATGAAGATATATATATATATATATATATATTTTTTTTTTTTTTAAAGATTTATTTATTCATGCATTCAAGAACTGGGGTACAGGCCAGATGTGCAGGGGAGGGGGGGAGTGAGAGGATTCACCACAGACAGACACATCTGCTTAGCTCACTCTGATTTTAACCAAGATTCAGTAATTACGAACATCAATGGCTGGCTCTTACTACGGAGTTTAGAAGTTACTAATAAAGGGCATTTTGCCTTAGAAGGCTATCCTTTTGTAGAGTTGTCATGCTTCTTATGGCAATTACTTCTCAACCCCCATTGGAGCTAAGCAAGTTATAGAAGTGAGCTAGAAAATTATATACAAGCTTGCTAAAACTGTGTGTGAAGATTAAGAAGCAGTGTTGATCTTAAACGTGAGGTGGTATAAATAAATGCACAGTTCAAATCATGTGCATTATGAAGTTAGATATATCTGGGATCAGTGCTGGCTTGACCACTTACTAGTTGAGTATTTTCCCTTATTTGAAAAGCAAATTGGGACATAAGCAAAAAACTGCAGAGTAGGAACTCCAAAAGTCCACCCCTTCACTGAAACAATGAATAAATTGGCAAAAAGGTTCAACTTTTTTTGAACTTTGGAAACCACAAGTTTACAACAATCAAACTGTTTAATCAAGAAAAAACAGCTGAATCTTAACAGCTTTTTGGCATTTGCTGGTCTTACCACCCATACCCCAGCTTGCCAGTAACCTTGAACAGCAGCCCACTTTCCCCATACAGTTGATAGTACTGGACTGAACAGGACAAACCTTACTGTCAAAGAACCGTGGTTGTTCTGAACTGCCAGGTCCTAGCCATCTCAGAGGACTCACCCCTATCTCACCTATCTCAGAACGTTCCCGTGCAGCTAGAGGGCATTTGTCAAAGACATTTAAAGGTCAAAAATACAGGTATCTGTTGCCTTGGGGAAAACAACAGACTAGCCAAAAAGAGGGAAAGCTGGGGAATGAGAAGTCTAGGAGAGTAATTCTGACACACTCCTATGGATTTAGGTGGCCACGCATGTGCCTAAGGCAGAGCGTGTGCTCAGAAAAGACCTGAGCAGGCCCAAAGTGCCCAGGTGTGGCTCCTCTTCAGGCACCACTCAGGCAGGGAGTGAAGGAACAGGCAGAGCTCTGAAGTGCCTGAAAGAGTGCTGAGGGTGTGCCCCAACAGAGCTGAGCTCCCGAGCAAGCTTGTCTTATTCCTCTTACCTGTGCCTGTGATCAGTGTCACAAAGTTTTCCAGACCCTTTCCTTGGCCAAATTTCCTTTCTGCCAGGGCAGCACAGTTGCCATCATTGTCTACCCACACAGGGAGATGCAAATTGTCAGATAGGGGAGTTCTAAGGTCTACAGAGTTCCATTCTTGAATCAGTTTGGTTGAATGTAACACAATTCCTTCTCGAGGATTCACACGGCCACCAGTGGAAATGCCTGAGCTCCACCATAAACACAAGGAAAAATATAATCAAAGAGTAGTCTTAGCAAAATGTGCCAACTTTCTAGACTGAGAACACAAATCAATTCATCCAAGTTCTCCAAAGACAAACATTGCACCAAGGACTGCAAGGAAATGTCAGGCAGTTCTGAATTAAATCTGTACATCGCCACAGATTTATAACATCAATGGTTTTTACATAATGCTCACTTGGTATCCCAGGAACTCCCTATTCTTGGGGCCTAGAGACAGGAACTGGAGCCATCTTTATACAAGATGGTGACCTGGTGTTTAGTCATGCACTGGAACTCAGCAAACATTAAAAATACCATTTCTTGGATAATGTAATTTACAATCTCACCTACACCCAAAATTCTGCAATTCAATTTTACAGCTTCTGCTGCAGCTTCGACACACATCTGCAGGATCAAATTAATCCTTTCTTCATAGGTTTTAGGATTGAACTGAGTATACTTCTTAACTATTTCACCCTAAAAGAAAAAAAACAACAACAAGATCTGTCACACTGGTATTAGTTAAGGAGCACATGGGGAATCTTTTGACCTTTTTCATGATAAATAAGACACTGCCCTAGATTTAGATGACTGCTTAGAAAGGGGGCTACAGTCTGGCTTGGGCCAGCTATGGGGTAAGTCCAAGTAAATCCCTGGGACATGGCTATTGAAGCAAGGAACAACTCCACAGCCAACCAGACGGCCCCTCAAGTGTAATCTGAATCCAGTTCATTAAAATACTACATTTTACTCTTTAAAATGTGACAGAATGGTCTTGCTTAACTACCAAGGCAACTAAATATATATCCTAGTGAAGTTTTACTCATCCCCTCTAACTGAAGCCAATAATGGTATGACCTCAGGCTAATAATCATTATTTTAAGTAAATTTCAGAGTGATGGTAAACTTTAAAAAATCCCATTGAAATGTTACCTAGAATTACGTTAAGCACAACTCTAACATTTGATAAACACTCAGTATTCCCATCCACTATATTTTCCAAGTCTTTATATTTTACAGTAGAGTTTTACAACTTTATGTAGATCACATAGTTTTTTGGTTTAGGTTACTTTTAGACGTCTTTATTATAGTTCTGAATAGGATCTTATTTTCCATTATTTTGTAATTAATGAAGTTTTCTCCACTGGCAAGGGTTAAAGCTGTCACTAATGATTGTCATTAAATATAAACTTCAAGTTGTGCTTCTGTACATCAGAACTACCTGGATAGCTTTGAACAAATACTGATGCCAGAGAATTAGCCTGGGGTTAGAGCCTAGACAACTGTAAATTTTTTAAAGCTTCTAGGTAATGCTAATGTGCAGTCACAGTTGACACTCACCTAGAAAAAATGCAAATCTTTGGTGACAATTTCATATAACTAGAAAGTTTTCGATATTTATCATCCAATCATTTTACTCATTTCTCTTATTAATTTTACAAGTTTGTTAGTTTATTCATATTATCTACAGATAATATTTTTTGTTTTATTCTGTCTACATTTTTGCTGTTTTATTCTTGCTTCAATCCCTTAAAACTTATGTTAAACAATGTTGCAGAAAACATCCTTCTTTTCCTCTTTCTTTTAATAACAATGCTTCTAGAATCTTACCACTTACACAGGGTGTTGGCCATTGATATAGGTCATCTTCATGTTAAGAAAATATTTTTCTATTAATGCTTTTTAAGTAGTATTCATAAAGGCGGTCTTTTGGCTTCTCTTGAAAAAATTATGTTTTGATTTGCTTTGGTTTAGTTGACCTAGACAATGTTGTGTTTAAAATCCTTGCTAATTCTCATGGACTGCTGAAACTTCATAATTAATTTACAATACTTCAAATGAAGATTTTCCTGGTAGGCTTATTCTTCCTTGTTAAGTTATTAGGGATAATTCTCACATGTACAACTTAGTTTTTTCATGAAGGCTCTCTTAAACTCTCTCAACACTGTGGTGATGTTTTAGGTAAGAGATTGAGGATTTGCTTTATTCAATGTAAATCATTTTCTAGAGGAGATGCAATTATTCTCACCATTTGCAGGCTCTTCTCCTAGTCATGGAACTAATGGACATACTCTAATTCTCCAGGCTGTTTCCAAGTATAGAATTTCAGGTCTCCTGGGATGCCCTCTCTGGTGCCTAAGTGGTCTCCCAAGTCTACTGTCTTGAACTCTGAAAATTTTACTTCTCTGAAATGTTAACAGCAAAATAGTGAAGCAGTGTAATGAATCCAAAAGTCACTACCGTGGATAAATAATTACAAGCTCCTGTGCATGTTTCTAGACTTAACTTTCAACTATACTTTTAAAAATAAGTTACTCATATGGAATATAAAGTTAAAACTTTTAGGAGTTATTTTACCTTCATGCTAACTATTGCAACTCGGAGGTTCGTCCCGCCGAGATCAACAGCCAAGGCACTCAAAGTTTCAAGAATGTGGTCAATATCTTGAGAAATGTTATCCTTCACAGGAGGAAAGCAGAATTTCTTTTGTAATGGCTCTTGAAGATCAATAGATTTGAGAAATTTCAAAATTCTTGGAACAGCATTTCCATCCCCATATATCTTTGAACTGCAATATCCAAAAAGTCTATTAAATTAATTGTTTCTCCCACACATATTAAATGATTGAGGATTTGATATTAATATATCTGAGACTTCAGGTAATAAGGTTTGTGCTTATTCCTTTTAAAATAACAACATCTGGAGCTCTTTAGCAAAATAGTAACTAAGCCCCTTTATATTACCATATAATGTCTAATTCCATTGTTGATAGATATACAACTATTTCCAGCTGAGCTACCATTAACAAAATGCCTTTGTCATCCAAAAAAAAATTTGGTTAAGCCAATTTCAGAAATATCATACTTAGGGTAGTGAAAATTTTTGTTTTGTTTTTGCATTTTTTAGTTTTTATCTTTATGTTCATGGGGGGTGGGAGGGATGGTTATTTTCAGGAAAAAACATTCAACCGCAGGAAAAGCTAATTAATTTGAAATAGAAAGGAGGGGAGTCTAATTAAAATACTGAACCAGACTATTTTTAAAGAAAATTAGTTACATCATTTTCTAATACTTAGAGAAATTCAAAGTAGACTAAAGAAGTATTTCCTAGCAAAAGTACTATATTAATTAATTAACTGAGATAAATAAAGTTACTCTCCACTAGAACCCTTAATAATAGGGGGTATGGCATTAGCAAGCTCTCTGTCACTGGCAGCCCGGGACTCATAGGGATGTAGATGTTACGGATGATTATACAGTGATCAGAGTTTGAAAATGGGACCTGAGGCAACTCCCCTTTTAAATTGCTTAAAATATATACAGGGCAGGGCCTCCCCTGGTGGTGCAGGAGGTTGAGTGCTGCGCTATGAAGCTGTCCGCAGCCTCTGCAGTGCTGGTTCAATCCCGGCCGGCAGGCGAGGGTCCCACATGGCGCGGCAGACCACTCCTGTCGTGCCCGACCCCTCCTGTCGTGCCCTCTGCTCCCCTCAGCAGAGCACTGTCAGTCTGCCTGTTCTGTTCCCCGCTCTGGCTCTGGTGAATCCTCTTACCCTCCCACGCATCTGGCCTGTACCTGGTTCTTGTATAAATAAATAAAATCTTAAAAAAAAAAAAAATATATATATATATATATATATATATATAGGGCATACACTCACCAAGGATATTGTTTACCAAACTGAAGTTGTAGTGCTTGCAATATTTTGTCTTTAGTATCAGCATCCCGAACATGAAGAACATTCTCCCCTAAGTAAATGCAGTAACATATTACAATGGTAAGTAGGACTAACCAAAGAAAAAGACATTTGCAGTGTCTTGTACTCATAATTAGCCCTGAAACCCTTAAGACTTCAAATACTTCTTCTAAAGAGATCATTTTTTCTATTTTATACCTTTTAAAGCACTTTCAACAAGATTTCCCTATCCACTAGTATTTCAAATCAAGTTTTGTGCTTTGAAATACACAAAAAGATTAGCATCAAATTACCACTTATCTAGTTATCTAGCATGTGCACTTTTTCAATCTTCCCTGCCTTCCATCCTCTCAGCCAGCTTGTTCGGTCTACTCAGCAGGCCAAGCTGGTCAGTTAGTCATTTAGCCAGGCAGTCACTTTTTCTCCACACATTTTCTGCCCAATATGAGGGAGTAAATAAAGTGCAAATGATTGGGTTTTTTCCAACTGAATTGGCTAAGAGGAAAAATGCAGAGAGGGGCCAAGGAAGGGGTTGTTCTTTGTTTTTCAGATTATGAGAGAGACATAGGCGTGTTTAAATGACAAGGAGGCTAAAGATACAGGGAAAAGAAAGGATGACTGACGGATCTCTGAAAAGACAGGAGGGGTGGGAATTTAGAATACAAGTAGAAAGCTGAGCAGTAGACAGGCAGGAGAGAGCCCACCCCCTCCAATGTAAAGAAGGAAAGGATGGACAGGCACATGTTTATAAGCGTATGGCAGAAAGTACAGAAACTGCTTTTGACAAAGACCATGTCGCCAATCCCCAGTGTTCAGTTCTCTGTTCACATCTTGTTTGAACTCAGCAGTCTTAAACACCATCTCGTTAAAACATTTCTTTTCTGGGCTTTTATGATACCACATTCCTGGTTTTCCTCCTACCTCACTGGCAGTACCTTTTTAGTCCTTGACAGCCCTTCCATCCTCACCAGAACTGTAAATGCTGAAGGGCTTTTGAAGTTGGTCATGGGTTCCACTTTCCCTATTTACATGTTCTCTCAGGGAAATATTTAGTTCCTTTAAAAAAGAAACATCTATTGCAGAGAGTACCATTCTTCTCAATACCCTTTCTCTACTGGTAACAGAATTTTTACCTGGGCATCTGATCACTCAACTAAAGACTATGTTTTTCAGTTTCCTTTGCAGCTAAACCTAACTCTGTGACCAAATTCTGATAGGATGTGAGAATATTTGAACTTCCCAATTGTGCTTTTATTTATTTTTTTATTGAACTTAATGAACTTGATTTTATATGCTGAGCAATACTGCCTAAATATAATGAATCTTAATGCTAGTTTAATGGTGGTTTAATTTTTTTATACATTTCACTTACTGTGCTTTTAAAGGGAAGGGCATCTTTCCCCTTCCTCCTTCCTAGTGGCTAAAATATGGGCTTAACAGCAATAGCTGGAAATTAGTGAGAAACCAAGATAATCTAACGCATGTAAGGTACTATTATTTTGGGTCTCTGTTACAGCAGCCAAACTGGTACCCTAACTAAACACCATCTATATGCCAAACGACTCTCAAATTTCTATTTCCAACTCAAACTTGCCCTGAAACTATCTAGCTGCATACCTGCTGTCTCCACTTTGATACTATCAGGCATCTCAAACTTAACATGACCATTAAAGAACTCTTAATTCCATTCCCTCCTAAATCTGCTTCTCCTTCAGCATCCTCCCTGTAGGCAAAGTGTGCCCTCACTGCTCAATCCAAAAATCTAAGAATTATGTTGATTCCTTTCACTACTCACATATAAGCATCAGCAAGTATTATAACAAACCCCAATTCTAACTTTTCTCTATCTCTTAATACTACTACATGGTTTAAGCCACTACATCTCATATAAACTGAAAGAACCTCTTACTTAGTCCCTGCTTCCACCCCTGCCCCACCACACTCCATTCTCCATGTAGCAGCCAGAGTGACCTTTCCCAATGCAAGTCTGTGTCATCTCTCTTAAATGGCGTCTCGTCGAAGTATTACTTAGAGAAGATTCCAGATATAAACAGCTGTCCTTCTCTAACACCATTTTGTATCACGTTTCCTCTTGCCCATTACTCTAGACCTACATTAGTCAGTCCTCCTGTTTCTCACCTAGATCAAGTTTGTTCCTATCTTTTGGTCTTCACATTGGCTGTTCCCGGTGCTCTTCCCTGATCCTCACATAGGTAATTCCTTGTCATTCAGATCTCAGGTTAAATGTCAACTCTTAAAAGAGGCATTCTTTTATCCAATGTAATATTGTCCATCACACTGCCCTGTGTTGTAGTCTACACAGCACACAGACATCCTGGGCTTTTTCTTTTCTATTATTGGTCATCCCTCCCACGAGAATAGAGAAAGTTACATGAAAGCTCAGCCCTTGTTACTCTAGTTTACCATCAAATCCCTATGCAAGCACAGAGTGAGTGCTTATTAAGAATTTTTAAAACAAATCACTGAACTTGAAAGATTTCATTTGATGACTTCTATTTTCTCTGTGAAGAAGGGAGTAAAGTAATACATTGTGAATGAAAGAGTAAGAAGGTCTAAAGAAAGGTATGGTGGCAATTATGAAGAACTGAGACCTGATATCCTGGATTCTGATATGACTTTTTGTTTTTCATCACCTACATGCACTTTCCATTAACTACAGAAATCTATCTGTATGTTACTGTGTTAGACTTGGGCTAAGCTAATAACACGATCTAGCTCAGTCAGCAAATTCATTACTAATAATTCTACCTCTGCTTAAGTTATTTAAGGGAGATTCTTGCTTATTGCTATGCCCTAAAGTACTGAAAAAAGAGACTCTTTACTGGGTCTAGAAAATGAAAGACCAGCATTTATGTACTTATTACATGTTCAGCCACATTCTCACCTAAACACAGCCATCAAAGGCCATAATTAAAATAAATCTTATAATAATTATAATAAAATCTTAGCTCTGATATTACAAAGACAATAAAAATATAAGTAGAACCCTACAATTTTTGGTTAATCACTGTGTGTGAATTATAGACTTTAGGCTACAGTCATGATTAACTCACTTGTTTATAAAAATATATACCAGTCAGTGCATACATCATACCATCTAATAATGCATACTTATTTATCAAGCCTGGTTAATTGAAATATATGCAAAAGTAAACACCTGTTTCTCTTCCAATCTGACGTGTTCCTAGGTTGATCACAGGTGTTCCAAAAGCTCCAACCTCGCGTACCCCACAGCTGCTATTCCCAATCATACAACCAGCATGGGCAACCAACTGTATAAACTGGTCAAATGGAACATGCTTAACTGCACGAAAATTGGGATGATGCTCAATGCCCTTTTTCCGCATCACTCGAACCATCTCTTTGCTCCCTGTGAAAAAGAAGAGTCAACTGTTAAAAGTTTCGAGATAAACCATTTTCACGTAAGTGTAGTCCCCCTCAATCTCCCTGTAAATACTCATACCAGATACTAGGGAAACAGTACTTTTAATTACTGATTTTTTTCATAAATGGTGAACACCTAAAATCATCTGATCAGCTCTCTGCTTCAACTTCTCTAGGAACATTAAAGAGCAGCAGTTGGGACTTTTCAAACAGGACTGAACAAAGAAAATGCCTTTTAGTCATGTCCTAATAATAAATGCCTTTACCTTAAACAACAATTAAGAGGCTCAAGACAGGCCAACAGTCTTTGTCTCTTAAGCAGTGAGTCCTAAATGGAAAGGTCTCAAACTCCACACAGCAAGCTGGTCAGAGTATATCTCTCCCTCAGCTATGTTCACATTTATAGTGACAACAGTTCAACTGGCTAACACTGCCTCTTGGACTAAGCTCTGAGAGAATACAGATAGATTCTGATATTGTGGCTGACATTTTGTTCTAAATGTATAATTTTTTAAAAAAGTTACAAATGTATGAGAGTAAGGCAATGTTTACTTTTTAATTAATCTCACCTTTTCCCAGCTACTGCCCACCAAGGGAGGCAAACCTGCTAATCTGATTAGTTAGAAGGCAGGCAGCAAACACTCTTCACCAGTGGGCAGGAGTCACTGATTTAACAGAAGTTAGGAATGCATATGTTTTTTTAACTCTATGTGACAAGATAGGTACTAAACTCAGGATTTAATTCTCTAGAGCAAGTCTGGACACTTTTCTTCTGCCAGGGTATGCCAGTCATCACCTATATTATTGCAGTGCATGGGATGCCAGAGGTGCTGCTACTCCAAGATCTGCATTTGGGCCCAGTTGAAAGCTTCTCTTTGACTTTAAGCCTAAACCACAAGGACTAATCCTGTTTTTCAGAGAATGCCACATTGGGGAACCAGGGAATAGCGATGCCTTACTAGTTCCCTATTGCCTCTGGTGTATATTTTATCAAAATCCATGTGAGGAGGAGCGCATTCCTTGGATCCTTTACTTTCACAGGGGAAAATATCTCTAACATGTATATAGTCAGGAAAAGTATATTAAAAATAGAGTATCACTGGCAATGAACATTGAATGATAAAGATACAATTACATTATAAATATTTATGTATAAATTTAAAGGATTAGAAAAAATACTAAGATTTTTGAAATTTGATACATTACCTGGATGAAATCTGGATTGAGGGGTCTTTTTTTTCCAACTAACACTCAACTTTGCTTCCCCTAATAGAAAAGACTATTCAAGAGATACTAAGAGGGATTCTTTCAGAGTAAGATGGTGACATCATGCATTGCAGAGAAGGGGTCCTGCCTCCTTTACCAAAAAGAAAAAAAAAGCTTAACAGCTTAGCAATGAGTAGTATCAGCTAAAATAATAACCAACATTTGAGAATTCCTGAATGTGAAGCCCTTCTCTGGCACTTCTCATTTACATCTCATATCCCCATTAATCTCCCTAAGGTCTCACTAGCACTGAAGCCTACAGTACCATCTACCAGTCTGTGATTAACCAGGTCAGGCTTGAGGGTCAACTGGTTGGGGATCCCAGGTTTACACTGTATAAGCTTGATGACTTTAAAATACATTGATAGCTAACATGACTAAGAGAATAAGAAATAACAACAGTACATTTTATATGGCAGTAAATGTGATTATTAGTTTCCTAGAGTCATTTTTTTCAACTTCTAAGATTTATGTTTCTTGGCCACTACATATTCTTTTTGGTGTAAACTGGAGGGAAAAGACTAAACATAAAACTAGAGTACAGATTCACTTTTTTTTTAATTTTTTAAATTTTTTTTAAAGATTTATTTATTTGTATAAGAACTGGGGTACAGGCCAAATGTGCAGGAGGGTGGGAGGATTCACATAGAGCAGGGAGGAGCACCAGAGACAGAACAGGCAGACTGACGAAACACACTGCTGAGGGGAGCAGTGGGCGAGACAGGAGAGGTCTGCTGCACCATGTGGGTTTCTCCCTAGCCAGCCGAGATCGAACCCACGCCACAGAGGCTGCGGACAGCTTCACAGTGTGGCACTCAACTGCCTGCACCCCCAGGGAGGCCCTAGAATGATTTTAAAAAATATATCTTTTCTGTTAAGTTTCTACTACATTAACAAAAGCATAACAACTCTGATCTACTGCAAAATTGGCTGTTCCTTGAAAATTGGAATGCACTTCAGGAAAGAATGGCTATCAATAAGATGAACTAGATAGGAAAGGCAGGCAGGCAAAAAAAAAAAAAAAGACATAATGGAAACATAAAATTGGAAAGGTAGGTGGCATAATTTCATTTTCAAGTTCAATTACCTGCATCAATATTTGGAAACAGAATTAGAGTCCGCTTGTTAAATGAGATAAGTGCATCCAATGTAAGTTCAAACATTTTTATGGAATGCTTAATATCAGTGGTCACAGGGTGCTGTAGTGCAACAATGTAATCTTTAGATTTTACATCATCACCTGTTTAAAGAAAATCAAAACAAACTGCTTCATTTGTTAAGCATCTTAAAAGAGGAAGAAGCAAATTCCAAAAAGCAAGACCCCAAAGCCTGTAAAAAAGAAAGTTTGTCTCACTTTGTCATGATTCCCCACATCTAAATGCAAAGAAACCTAATGTAGGTAGGGCAACCAAACTGGGATCAAATAAGAACTTACAGAAACAAGCCCCAAAGATTTGTAAAAAAACAGTTTGCAAAGGTGCTTGTTACCACAAATACAAACAAAATCTATTTTTAAATAGCAGGCCTAGAATTCATTGTTTTTAATTGTTTTTAATCCAAAATATTTCAAAACATTACAAAAACGTGAATCTTCCCAATTTCTAATTAGTGTTTTAATCAGCAATATTAATGTCACCAATCAGAGTGTGCAGAAATTAGATAAAAGGCATTAAACATTTCATATAATGCACAGGAGCTTCCCTATCACATCACTTACCAGATACAACAAATGGCAAATGTTTCTAACTCTATTCAAAGGACTAGAAAGCCTTCATTCATCCCCAGGCTGGGATACCAAGGATACTTCCTAAGCAAAATTTCCTCAGTGTAAAAAGCTTAGTTAGATAGTGCTGTGCCAAATAACGCAAACACTTATCAACAGGGCCTACAATATTCCATAAAACTGAAAATGAACTCCATTTGCTTATTTTTAATGAAAGAATATATTTCTTTGTGATATTAATTTTAATGGTCAACTTTATCACGATCTGTAAGTTTATCATTAATTTCCAAATTCAACCAGCAGCAGTTGTTTTTTATGCTTAATGGTAATAGAATTTTTACCAAGACGCTTCAGTAGTATTTGACTTAAAAGACTAAGGGCTCCAAAATTGTATTTTATAAACATTGAATATTTCCACCTTATTATGTTCTAAACTGGGAAGGGAGGCATATAAATGTTAAAGTTTTATACACAGAGGAAAAAGATCTAAAGGCTTAAAAGAGGGCATCAGAAAAAGAACTTTAGAAAGGTGAGATTAATATAATGTCAGATAATCTACTAATATAGATCAGCGCCAAAGAGAATTAAGAGCTTGGAGGAGTGGCAATAAAAGAGGTGTCTTCACTGTAAAGAACATGGAAATACCAGGTATATGCTACAATTGATCACAAGTATAAGTAAATCCTATAAAGTGTATTTCTATAATGTGAATGAACTCATTCATGACATAAATGAATGATGTCAGCCTATAATATAAGTGAGTTACTCATTCATGATTCCCCACAGCTAAATGCAAAGAACCCTAATGTAAATGTACACAAGCTGTTTTACCACAAAGCTCCTTCAACCCACATTCTTTCTCTTGGTTCAGTCTGTGCCCATACTGTCTTGAGAACACATTTAAGGCAAATCATTTTATCTTCTTTTTATTGGTGACAGTTTTCCTTAAGAGTGAACATATCAGGGAGCTTCTGTGCCGTTTTGTGCAGAGGATCATCTTTACAGCTTATTAGTTTAACTTACTGAAGGAGCAAGTAGAAGATGAAGAGGAAGAAAATTTCCAGATTACCCCATGAGAGCTTGCCAACTTCCCATTTATCTCTGTGTTAAGTGTGATTTAAACATTTGTAATATGTAGAAAATAACCGTATACTGCAGAATGCAGCAACATTGAGTTTTGTACTTAAGGTTCTATGTGGATCCCTTTAAGCAGTTTCTTTATAAAAGAATGGCAAAAACTGTAAAAACTGGATTGCTTTTTTAAACCAGTGAAAAAGAAAGCACAGGGCAGTGAACTGGAGCTACCCATCTCTGGCAGTAATAGACTTTTCTTTTTAAATTTATTTACTTATGCATAGAAGAACTGTGGTGTAGGTCAGAGGTGGGTGGGGGTGAGGATTCACCAGAGACAGAGTAGGGAGCAGAACAGGTGGATTTACTGAAATACACTGCTAAGGGGAGCAATGGGCGAGACAGGAGAGGTCTGCTGCACCATGTGGGTTAGCTCCCTGGCTGGGGATCAAACTCAGGCCGCAGCACTGACAGTATGATAGTGCGCAGACTTAACCCCTAGGCCACCAGGCACACCCCACGCCCCACAGCAATACATTTTGTGGAAAGCCTGCACCTACTTCTCAATGTGCAACTGCTGACAGTCATTCTGCCGTTGTCTCCAAAACTCAGCATCTTCTGCCCTTCCACACAATATTTTCTACTAAGGTTACCGTCATTTTGTTTTGTGTTGTAGTTTGATTTGTACTGTGGCATTTCTTTTATTATTAGAAATTTAATGTCTTTTCAACTTTGCAAATACTTTTTACTGGGATTGTTATTTATTAATGTTCTGGTAACCAAGTTGTGTGTTTTGAGTGGTCTACTCAAACCTATCTTTCTTACAGGCAGAGTGATAACAGCAGGTCGAGAAGCAGATACAGGCTTTACAATGTATTATTGCCAGGGTAGGTGGCCTGAGTACATGACCTTGTGTTTTTTCCCAACTGGTTTAAAAATATCTAGTTTTTGCTATTTTGTCATCCTTTTTACAAAGAAACTGCTTAAATTGTTACAATTAGAGCCCTTAAGTCCTGTAAGTATAGTCTTGCTGCATTTTACTTAATAAAGATATTTCTATTCATTCTGTTTTTCAGAAATACAGTTTTTCAGAATATAGTTAATAGTATAATCAGACCAGAATGCAAGAATGTTTATTTAGAAGCACACATAAAGGAGAGACTAGAGGGACATATGTTTGCTCCACCAGCATTATCCATACAGATTCCCTGATAACAAATCTGTCCAAAGATAAGAAATACATAGATAGGTACTTCAGTTGTAAGTGTTTCATGGTAGCATACATCTGAAGAGGGTGTGAACCCATCCCCCTAAAACATATACAGTACAGTAAACCAGTGTTACCCCAATAAAAATGAATACCACTTAAGTTAAAAAAAAGAAATAGATAACTGAATTTCTTTTCTGTTCTAATGTGATCTAGATTTAAAATATGTATAATCTCTTTGATTACCTAATAGCCAAATCAATTTACTATTCTTAACTTGATTACTTAATGGCTGTACCTCTTAAAAAGTACATAAATAAATCCCGATTTATCCTCTAGACATTTCACTGTTAGTTAACCACTTGATATTCTGTTAATAAACCTATTTTCTTTGCTTCTAACAAAAGGTAATGTCCAGCAAGATAAGTCATTAATCATTGAAGATTTCATATCTTTAGGCTTATTTACAGAGATAATAAACTCAATGTACAACTGTGACTTTTGCCTTAATAAGTCAAATTACCTTATATTAATAGTCACTTATGGCTTACTACTTTTTAAATTTTTTTTTAACATAATAAATTTTATTTTTATATTCCCCCATACAATTGCAACCCTCCCATTCTGACCCTAATCCCTCCCCTCCCGCCCCCCACCCCCCAAAAAGTGTCTCTGGTTCATAGTTTTTTGTTGATTTTGATTTTCACTTTCTTATAGTTATTCATTTTCCTGGTCCCTTATTTAAGTTTTCTAGGTTCCTGCTATGAGTGAGACCATCCGGTATTTTTCTTTTTCTTTTTGGCTTATTTCGCTGAGCATGATCCCTTCCAGCGCCATCCATGTTGCTGCAAATTGCATGTGTTTATCTTTTTTGAATGCTGAGTAATATTCCATGGTATATATGTACCACATCTTCTTGATCCAGTCATCTATTTTTGGGCATTTGGGTTTTACTAACTACTTTTAACATTCTCTGTCTCATCTGAGTATTACAAGATATAAGATATCTTATATCTTAAGATATAAGATTTTATCTTAATTTTATCTTAATTTTATATCTTAAGATATAAGATTATATCAAAATTAAGATATAAAATTAAGATATAAAATTTAAAATAAGTTTTCATTATACTAAAAGATAAAATACAGAAAAATGAAAACAAAAACACCCATAATTCTACAAATCAGAAATAAATATTGTCAATGATGTAGTATATATACTTCCTAACCTTTTCATTATATTATTGTTTTTTTTTTTAAAAAGACATCATATTACATATACTTTTGTAGTTTGATTTTTTTCCCGGTTTTTGCTACCACAGGATCTGAGACAGTCACCCAAAATATTGTATTTAATGGATTAAAAGCATACCGTATAGCACAGATTTAAAAACTCAATTCATTAAGTCTATTTTACAAAAAATTGAGTCTCAAAGAAGTGAAGTCATGCCACAGTGAGATCTATGAACTAAAACCTTAGGTTTCTGATTGGTAATGGGATATTCTATCCACTATAGTTTCCAAAAACTGAAAGCTATCCAACACCTTCTGACAACCACTACCACCAGAATGAATGAATAAAGCCTGATACGTACCTAACCACATGCGAATGATGCTCATGTAGTCTTTGTTCTTAGCAGAGAGAAGTTTATCATAGGAAGGGCAGCCTGCCAGAAGGATGCGATCATGGTCCTCACACATGGATATTAGGTGTTGCTCTGCACTTCGAGTGCAGCACACATGATAATGAGCCAGTTTTGTGATGGCATGTCTGATAGAGTCATCAATGGTCCCACTGACTTCCCCACCTTCAATGTGAAGGATTCGGATGTTCATTAAGGCAGCAGATGTAGCCAGAGCCAGGGCGTCAAACCTGTCTCCATGAACAATCATGATATCAGGCTTCAGGCGATTGAGCACATCTGGTAGCTTCACTAGGGCCAGGCCCACTGACTCCACCATGGCTGCCTCATCTTCCCCTCTAACAATTGTGTGTAGCCTGGTGTTAATGTCAAAGTCATCTTGTTCAATCATGCGATATGTGTTTCTAAAGCAAGAGAGAAATGAAAAAATGAAAGCATATTCTTAATTACAGGACCACTATGAGAAAATCTTATATCAACCCAACATGGAAAATATTTTCTAAAATTTACTTTCTAAAGTCAAGTAAAACAACTAAAGTATAACTTACACTCAAAATTAAAAGCACAGATCATTATACAGACAGCTTAATTTTTCTAATAGCCCTATTGCCAGCATACAGATCAAGAAATAAAACATTCAGCACCTTGGAATTCTCATTTGTGCCTGCCTCAGTAAGTACCTGGAGGAAATATCTGAGAATTTTTTTTTAATTAGGAAAAAAGAAATGAAATTTTGGGCCTCCCTGGTGGCGCAGGTGGTTGAGTGCAGTGCTGTGAAGCTGTCCGCAGACTCTGCAGTGCCAGTTCGATCCCCACCGGCCTCGGAGCAACCCACATGGTGAGCAGACCTCTACTGTCTTGCCCGCTGCTCCCCTCAGCAGTGTATTTCGTCAGTCTGCCTGTTCTGTTCCCCACTCTGTCTCTGGTGAATCCTCTCACGTTCCTGTGCATCTGGCCTGTACCCCGGCTCTTGTATAAATAAAATAAATCTTAAAAAAAAAAAAAAGAGGGCCTCCCCTGGTGGCGCAGCGGTTGACGCTGAGCTGCGATGCTGCAGTGCCGGTTTGATCCCTGGCCGCCGGCGAGGGTCCCACATGCGCACAGACCTCTCCTGCTGCGCCCACTGCTCCCCTCAGCAGTGTATTTCATCGGTCTGCCTGTTCTGTTCCCCGCTCTGGCTCTGGCGAATTCTCTCACCCTCCTGCGCTTCTGACTGTACTCAGTGCTTGTATAAATAAATAAATAAATCTTTAAAGAAAAAAAGAAAAAAAAATGAAATTTTATACTGGTCATGACTTTTTAAAAAAAAATTGTTTTAAATGAAATGCTACTAAATAGGAAAAAAAATCACTTACAAAAACAAAGCTCATTAAAGAAAATAGCAAGGAGCCAGGATATGGGAGATGTTACTAATAAAATTTCTGAATGATGAATTTTATCTCCTGAATCCTTTGCATGGTACTATGGGACCTATGCTGAGTCAAAGAGATTGCATCTTATTTCTAAGTTACCATTTTGAGAGTTCTAGGTGTAAAGTAAGCAGCTTAACTCAACTCCCCATTATTGATTATGAACCAGTGCATGTGCACACACACACAGATTTTCTCCTTATAAATAACTACAAAAGAACACCAGCATCTTGTTCTTTCCTCATCAATAAGAGGAAGGCCATGTGCTGATTGTTAAAAAAGATCCCACACTCCAGCTTTCTGCCTTAAGACTCCTGTCAAATAATCCAAATTTCAAACAGACGACCTAAACTGAGCTAGCCCACTCCCCTGCTTGAGTCTTTAAAACTTCCCTCTGCTGATGACTGTCAGTTAAGAGTGTGGTGCTCATAAAACTTCCCTCTGCCCTCACGCTGGTGGAATGCCCTTGGTTGTGGACCTGGATCATGATTCCCATTCTCCAAAAAATGCTTTCTTGTTTATATTACAGCCTAAGTCATCAGCTTAATGCCCCCAGAATCAATGTCCCCAGAATTAATGCTTAATTCTGATTGAGGTAAAAATGTAAATTTTATAGCATTAAATTGGCTGTGTAGTTACAAGTGTGTTTCATGCTTTAATAACATTAACAGTTTTCAATAACTTAATTTCATGGCTGTAATGATTAGAGTTTTTTACAGATGTTTTTTCTAACACATTTTTTAAAAATTGGAAAATGCAGATAATTATCATCTGTAAACCTACCACTGAGCACTATCAGTGTTAACATTTTCTCTAACCATTTTATGCATATTTTAACATACTTGAAAACACATCATACAATTAATTTTGTAAAATTCTTAATCCATTTCACACTAATATTTTCCCAAATCGTGAAGGGTTCTTTATACACATCATTTTACATCACATAGATGTCCTAGGCGTCACTTTATAGATTTAACTGAAATTCCCTGTACAGCTATGATGTTATATGTAAATAAAGACAATCTTAATGCCTTTTTTCTATTTCTTGCTTTATTTGGTATAAGTTAAAGAGAAATAGTCAAAGTGGAAAGCTTTACCTTGTTCCCAATCTTAGGAGGAGAGAATAAACTTTATGTTATAGGTTTTTCACAGCTGGCTTTTATCAGAGTAAGAGTTTTTATAATGTATTTAATGCTTCTTAACATCTATTTGACATGATCATATGGATTGTCCCCTTTATTTCTGTTAATATGCAAGTTAACAAATTGATTTTCAAATGTTAAATCAATCTAATCTTAATTCCTACAGTAAACCCACTATATTGTTTAAAGTTTTATGTCCTTATTCATGAGGACTTCTGGTCCGAATTCTTATTTTTATAATGCCTTTGTCTGGTTCTGACATCAGGATGGAATATTATTCAGTACTAAAAAGAAATTATTATCAAGCAATTACTTGAAATTACTGAAAATATATGAAGAAAGTTTATATAAAAGAAGTCAGTCTGAAAAGGCTATATACTGTATGATTCCATCTGTGACAATCTGGAAAAGGCAAATCTATGGACACAGTAAAAAGATCAGTAGCTGTAGAGGGTTGGGGGAGGAAGGGATGAATAGGTAGAAGTATTTTTTTTTTTAAATATCATACCACTTTTTTTTTTTTTAAAGATTTATTTCTTTACACAAGAACTGGGGGTACAGGCCAGATGTGCGGGGGGATGAGAAGATTCACCAGAGACAGAGCGGAGAACAGAACAGGCAGACTGACAAAATACACTGCTGAGGGGAGCAGTGGGCGAGACAGGAGAGGTCTGCTGTGCCATGTGGGTTTCTCCCCGGCCGGCCAGGATTGAATCCATGCTGCAGAGGCTGCAGACAGCTTCACAGTGCGGCGCTCAACCACCTGTGCCACCAAGGAGGCCCAGAATATAAGTTTTTAGGGCAGTGAAATTATTCTATATGATACTATAATGATGGGTACATATCATTATACATTTGTCCAAATCCAAAAAAATTTACACTACTAAGCTGAACCCTAATGTAAACTATGGACTCTGGGTGATAATAATGTATCAGTGTATGTTCATCAGCTATAACAAATGTGCCTCTCTGTGGGAGGTGTTGATAATGGGGAAGGCTATGTGTTTGGGAGCAAAAGGGTGTACAGAAAACCACTGGACCTTCTGCTCAATCTTGCTATAGAACTAAAACTGTTTAAAAATTAGTTTTTTTAAGGTATTCTTTTACATTTACTCTTACTAGTCATTCCTTCCTGCAGACTTAATTTCCTTGGAATATGTATCATTTTTCTTCAGTCTGAAGAATTTATCTTAGCATTTTTTTTGTAGTGTATACCTGCTGGTTGTCAGTTACTGGTTTATCTGAAAATACCTTCAATTAATTTTGGAAGAAATTTTCATTGGATGATAAATTCTGGGTTAAAAAGGGTTCATTTTCTTCTCTGAATATATTAAAGATGTTCCAGTGTCTTCGGGCTTCTATTGTTTCAGATGGCAAGTTATTCATATCATTGTTTACCTAAAAGAAATGTCATTTTTTGTATTGCTACTTTCAAGAAATTGTTTTGTTTTCAGTAGTTTAAGTATGCTAGGTCTACATGTACCTGTGTATTTATCTGTTGGGAGTTATTGCCCATTCTGAATCTGTAGTGACATTTTCAAAAAATTTGGAAAACTCAGGCCAGTATTTTTGTAAGATTTTTCTGCCTCTCTCCTTCCTGAGATACTAATGAAATATATTTTAGATTGTTACTGATATTGTCCCAGAGGTCACTGAGGCTCTGTTCGTAATTTTATTATTTTTTCACATTCTGCTCTTTACCTAGATAATGTCTATTGATCTGTCTTAAAGTTCACTGACCTTCTCTTTTCTTCAGCATCTACATCAAGTGAAATTTTTTTTTGCATATATTATACTTTTCAGTTCTAGAATTATTTGGTTCTTGTTTAAAATTTCTGTTGAGAATAGCTGCTCACTGAGCTAGTCCTTGTCTGCTGATGCCAACATCTGAGCCATCTCTGGGTCTGTTTTCATTGACTTTTCTTTCTTTTAATGTTGGGTGAAATTTTCCCATTTCTTCACTTATCTATCAATATGTGATTTTCTGTTGAACACTGTGAATAATATAGAGGCTCAGGGTTCTGTACATTCCTATGAAGACTGTTGATTTTTGATCAAGCAGGCAATTAAATTACTGGCTGTGCACATTTTGAAAGCTCAGTTCAACACTTAATTAGGGTGACTCAGTTTTGCTCTTAAAGAGCAAAAGGAATATAGGTTTTACTCCTAAAGTGTGGCCTTTCTGGGATTTCAGTAAAAAACCTGAGGTATTTTATTTTTATTTTACCTCTAACCTGGTAGGACTCAAATTCCAAACTGTCTCCCCTGAGGTGGACAGCAGATGAAACAACTTCTCAGTTTCTTCAGTCTCCAGTTGTTTTCTACTAAGCTTCTTGGAGACCCCCATGCATATGTAGTTCAGTGGTCCACAAGAACTCAAGAAGAGTTTATAAACATATTTATAGTCTGAGGCTGTTCAGTGGCTCCTCCATTTCACAGGTTTTTTTCCCCAACTCCAAAATTTCCAGATGCTGAGCAGCCCAACTGTCATTTTCTAGTACTTCAACCTAAACAACAATGGCTTTCTGCTTGAGTTCTAGATAATCTATACCATGTGGACTGATACTCACAGGAATAGCTCCTTGGAAACATGGATCTCACCTACTACATTCACTTCTTTCAAGGATCAAACCCCATCCAGTTTCTGTTGTTGGTCACTCTCCAATACCTTCAAACAGCTTTTAAAAATATGTCGGCAAGAGTTTATAAGGATTAGCTGTGGGAGAGTTAATCATATACAAGCTGCTCTGTCATCACTAAATTTTGAATTTTTTTCTTATTTTATACTTTCTTGAGGTAAATATTAGTTTTGTTACTCATGTTTCCCCTTATAACGGCAGCATTTAAGGTCATAAATTTATTCTAATTATTTTCCCCTATCATTTGATTTCCTTTATTATTTTATTATCTTATTTTTGTTATCTTTTTATCATTTGTCTCCCCCACCATAATGTTAAGTTCTATGAAAACAGGGATTTTGTTTCTATCTTATTTGCCATGAATCTAGATGCTTAATACTTATTGAAGGTGCACAGGGTCTCCACATATGTAGCCATGCTGAGTTCTTAACTTTAATTATTAAAAAGAGAAGTCCCTTCACAGTAGTATTTCAAGAAGGAAAAATGCCTATAATCAGGATATAAATACAATCAAGAACGACCTTAGCTGAGCTTGAATTCTGGGCTGCTTGGTAATTTATATTATCTGATTAATTTTGCACACAGAATACAAGATAATTTTACTCCCCAAGTTCAACCCATACTCTTTCTTTCAATGGAGGGGAGAAAGACAACTGAATACACATTTTGGTTCTGAGCAATTACAGGTTAGCTGAAGGGCATGAATTTCAGGAAAGTTTTATTTTTGATTACCACCTGATAAAACATGACTTTAATTCTAAGACTATCCCTCCTACAGAATGTTCTCCTTTCATGACCACTTGACTCTTTCCGGAACCAGAAGCAGAATTCCCTGTGACAGCATGTTAAAAGCAAACACCAAAAATATGAGAAGAATCTGCTAAAGCCTATTGAACCCAAATATAGATTTCCTTTTTTTTTTTAATTGAGAATTTTTGCATATGTGTTCTTTTAGAGAGAGTGGCCTTTTTTTTAAAAAAAAAAGATTTATTTATTTATTTATACAAGCACTGGGTACAGTCAGAAGCGCGGGAGGGTGAGAGAATTCACCAGAGCCAGAGTGGGGAACAGAACAGGCAGACGGATGAAATACACTGCTGAGGGGAGCAGCGGGCGGCAGGCGAGGTCTTTGCGCCATGTGGGACCCTTGCCGGCAGCCGGGGATCAAACCGGCGCTGCAGAGGCTGCGGGCAGCTTCGCAGTCCAGTGCTCAAAGGCTGCGCCACCAGGGAAGGCCCTTGATTTCCTTTTTTAAAACTAAATTCTATATTGTAAATTCTTCAAACTTGAATACTTTTGAAAACCATGGGACTCTAAAAAGACTAGGCCATCAATATATTATTCTTTGACTGAAACTGGACTTGATCCACTGCATATGTCTTAAGTCTCTAACCAACCTCTTCAGTTATATGGTCTGATGGTACCCTCATTACTCATTAACATTTACTGTAGTACCTTTCCCCCTTGTCTCTAACTTAGAAGCATCATTCTTAGGTGAAAATGAGTTGACTGATCTATCAGTTTTTGTTTTCTAATTCTTTCTTTTCTTTGTGCTGCATATTAAAGTGTAAAGAAACATGACCAGCATTTCTCAAACCTCCCCTTCATCAGAGAAATCTGATCCTTGAGGGACTTAGTTTTCTCAACTTTCCCATTGGTGCTAATTCCCTTACCATGTCTCCTCCAACAGAAAATGCTCAGATAGCTGTATTGAGTACCACAAATCTTATATAACTATCTTGAGATATAGAAGTTATGTATAATAATTATGTTGAAGACACCTATTTTCTGTTAGAGTGAACTAGACTTACAAGATACTAATTCCTCCTAAGAGGATACTACCACCTCCATAATCAGTTAACATGTTTGACAACCTCTTCTAAGTTTTTCACTTTAGTTTGCTATTATTTTCACTGACTATCCAGAGTAACATCCTTTAATCATTAGAATATTAATCCCTCTGACTCCAAAATATTTTAACCCTTTTTATCTGAGCAACTGTGGCATGGAAACCAGTCTTCACAATGTAATGAGGACCAGTTGAGTATATAACAGGGTATATACTCTGTTGAGAGTGTTTGTGTGAGAGAGAAGAAGGGGAGGGAGAGAGGAGAAAAAGGACAAATACACCCACAGAAAAGAGAACAGCATATTTTGACATACATAACTTTAAAATTCTCAAGCAATCCCGAAGTACCAAAAAGAGTCATGAAATGATGTGCAGTTTTGCTAAGCAAGAATCTGGATCCCATGGATTTGAGGCTAATGCAGGGGAGCAAGTCACTGAGCTAATCATTAAGCCACTGTACAGACCAAAATACAATGTTCCAATAATTTTTTTCATATTTTTGAGAAAAATATCATAGAGCAGGATTTCTCAATGGCTACAATGTTAACATTTTTGGGTCAGATTTTTGTTATGGGGGACTGACCTGTGCATTGTAGGATATTTAGAAACGTCCTTAGCCTTTCAAAAAAAATTTTCTTAAGATTTATTTATTTATGCATACAAGAGCTGGGGTACGGGCCAGAGGTGTGGGGGGTGAGAGGAGACACCAGAGACAGAGTAGGGGAATAGAACAGCCGGATTGACCGGAGTACTCTGCTGAGGGGAGCAGTGGGCAAGTCAGGAGAGGTCTGCTGCGCCATGTGGGTTGTTTCCTGGCAGGGGATCGAACTTGTGCTACAGAGGCTGCTGACAGCTTCATAGGTTGCATCTTAACCCTTGCACCACCAGGGAGGCCCTAAAATTTTTTTTTAATAAATGTACAAATGAATTTCTCAGTAGTTTGTTGTTAATAATTTGATTTCATTTTGCCCAAGTGGCTGAAGCTTAGTGCTTCTTAAAGTAGAGAGTTGATTCACATGGTTGAAAATTCAAGATACAAAAAGCCATATAGTAAGCCCTTTTGCAGCCACTGCTTAAGAGCCAGCGGCCAAAATGAAGTTCAATCTCTCCATGACTCTGACTGGAAGAAGAGCTATGAAAGGCATTTTAATGCCCCTTTCCATATTCATAGGAAGATTATAATTTTTCCCTCTTTCCAAAGAGCTGAGATCGAAGTAGAATGTTTAAGCCAATTTGGAAGATGATGACATTCAGGTTGTCCAAGGACACCTACAAAGGGCAACAAATTGGTCAAGTGGCCAGGTTTACAGGAGGAAATATCTCATCTACACTGAACCTGTACAGCAGAGAAAGTGAACAGCCCAAGTCTTCATATGGGCATTCACCCCAGCAAGGGGGTTATCACTAGACTGAAACTGGACATAGATCACAAAAACATCCTAGAACATCAGGCCAAATCTTACCAAGCAGGAAAGGAAAAGGGCAAATACAAGGAAGAAACAATGGAGAAGATGCAGGAATAAAGTAATCTTATATACAACTTTCATTAAAAGCTGCTAAAATGGTAAAAAAAAAAAAAAAAAAAGAAAAGAAAGTTATACAGTGAAAAGACTACCTTCTCACTTTTGTTTCCCAGTTAACCAGCTCCTCTCCCCAGAAGCAACCAGTTTCTTGTACTTTAAACATACATTTTCCTTAAGTACTAGTCACATTTTCTACTTAACAGTCTTACCAGACAAATAACTGCCTTTTCACCTTTAATTAAGGTGGCAACAGATAGGAAACCTATCACATTTTCCTTGAGAGCCTCTCCCACTATTTTTCCTGTCAAACTTATAAAAGTTTGACTTAGAGACTTTCATCTCAGGCTCTAGTTAAAATTTCTCTTCTACTTTGTTCTACCTTTGTCTTAAATATGTTAAGGAAAAAAAAAAAAACCCACAGAGATGTTCTTAGTCAGAATTCACTTCCCATTTTTAAAATACATGAATTTTTTAGCTATCCATAAATTTCTTCTTACAACCAGCTGCTAAATTGGTGTTAGAGCAGGTTTTTGTTTTTAGAGAATAGTCTGAAAAAGACAACTTTAACACAAGCTTCTTTCAAGTTTAATCTATTCCTGACTATATTTGGAGTCTGTATTAATGTTTTCATGCCACAAGGGTGCACTAAATGCCACTTTATTACATTTAACAAAATGATTGGTCATCTTTTGTTTAAAATTCTGCTCCCTCAAAGACTTTCCAACTTTTTTTTTTTTAATAAGTTTTTTTTTTTTTTAAGATTTATTTATATAAGCACTGGGTACAGTCAGAAGCGCGGGAGGGTGAGAGAATTCACCAGAGCCAGAGCGGGGAGCAGAGCAGGCAGAAGGACCGAAGTACACTGCTGAGGGGAGCAGCGGGCGGCAGGAGAGGTCTGCGCGCCATGTGGGACTCTCCTCCGGTGGCGGGGGAGCAGCTGGGGATCGAACCGGCGCTGCAGAGGCTGCAGGCAGCTTCGCAACCCAGCGCTCAACCGCTGCGCCACTGGGGAGGCCCAAAGATTTTCCAACTTTTAACAAACCTAATGTCACAAAAATAAGTATCAATGGTAACTGTAATAACATTCTACTTTACCTTGTAGAGCAATTAGATTTTTAAACTCTTGTTCCATAATTGTAATGTGAGATATAAGAAAATGTTTTTATCTTACCCATAGTCATCTATCAGGTGAGAGCCAAGTACCACCACATCAAGTTCAAAGAACTCAGGTTCCGTTTTAATTCCAAACATGATTGGGGCAAGTTTTGAATAATCAGCACGGTTGCAAGTCGCAACGCAAACTCGAAGTTTTCGGTTATTCCCGTTCTTCTCCATGACTTTTTTTTTTTGTTTTGAAAGGTTCTTAAAATAGAGTTCCTGAAGTTGCAAAAATAAACATTCTTTATAATCAGAATGATAGGTTCTACATATAAACACAGAATCCTGCAGTTCTAAGTACAGTGATTAGTACAGTGATTCTTAACCTTTTTTCTACCCTGCTTCTATGTGACACACCCACTGTTATATCCAAAGTTATGAAATCCCAGTGGACTATGACTCCATCCCTTTCTCTCACACTTAAGAAAACACACTGGGTGTGTTGGTCATAAATCAACTCGCACTAATTAAAAAGGTTTTGCAAACATCAGCTCCGAATGATTAGTTTGAAGTTACTTGTCATATCTCACAACTGATTTTGAATACATCAGACTATTCCCACACTTACAGAAAGGGAAATACAGGTCTTGAGAGGAGAAATTACTTCCCCAAGATTTTTTTTCAAGATTTATTTATTTATTCATACAAGAACCAGGGTACAGGCCAGATGCGCGGGAGGATTCACCAGAGACAGAGCGGGGAACACAACAGGCAGACTGACGAAATATACTGCTGAGGGGAGCAGCGGGCATGACAGGCGAGGTCTGCTGTGCCATGTGGGACGCTCGCCTGCCGGCCGGGATCAAACCAGAGGCTGCAGAGGCTGTGGAGAGCTTCACAGTGCTGCACTCAACTACCTGCGCCACCAGGGGAGGCCCTCCAGAGGAGGCCCTATTTCCCCAAGATTTAAGATCACCTCTTACAAAGGATGAGAGCTATTTACCCTCACGCTCTACAACCCCTATATATAAAACACTGCGATTAATGCTGTGTAAGATATAAACACACACACGCGCGCGTGCGCGCGCGCACACACACACACACACACACACACACACACACACACCCCTTATCTTCAAGGCCTCATTAACAGCTGAAAACCAGCGTCTACAAACTTGACAACTCCAAACACCTACCAGATACCATCTTAAAGGCACATTCCCAAACTAAACTCATTTTTCTTTCTCAACCCATCCTTCCTTCCTGGTTCTCTCAGTTATGAACTCCACCCATTCAAATACCTTTATATCCTTGTCTTCTCTGTTCCCACCCTGAACCTCCTATACCCTATCAAATTCATCTGAATATCTTTCAAATCTATCTCCTCTCCATCCACACCAGAACATCCCCTAGTCCAATTCTTCACCTTAGGTCAAAATGATTTGCCTACCTTTCTAGTCTTGCCTGCTCCCATTAACTTCAGAGCGATTGTTCCAGAGTTCATAAATCTGATTATCATGCTAAACAGGACACACCAACTATGGATAAAGTCCAAACTGTTGATCTGGATGGAGCCCATCCTTCCAACTACTTCTCCCCTTCCTACAACTACCCTCACTGCTGCTCTCTGCCTCTCTAGATACAAATCTCTCTCTGCCTAAAACTTCCTTTTCCTCTTGCCTATACTCCCCATACTTCAAAATTCAGTCTGCATGTCACCTCTTCTGGAAAGCCTTCACATGAAACCTAAGTTCTTCCTCACTGCCACCCTTAGTTGCTGCCTCCCTTCTGAGCACTATGGCGTTACCATATACATACACACCATCACTCAACTCCTCTGCCCGCCCACCCACCCCCATTGCATACTCTCCATTCAAAAATGAAATCCAGAGGCAAGGGATAAGAGATATGGAATACTATGGAACATTTTAAATATCTTTATGTCAACACAAAATTTTATTTCATGGACCAATCTCAATACTTATGATTCAAGGAGTACATCAATATTTAGAATTTGCAGTCAAGAATCCAGAGCAGTTTGAGTAAGTTGATTCAAGTAAGGGCAGAGCAGGAGTCTTTTCGACGAGAAAGAAATGCAGTGGAAATCCCACCAGTAGTCCTCTGTTGCTGGTATACAGCTAGTACTCCTGGGATCATAAAACTGTGCCATCATGAGGCTATTCTGAATGCATGGTCACCAGTAAAAAGCTAATTCCTTCCAATGGAAAGCACTTGCAAGCTTATGAAAACAGGCTTCCGTCAAGAGAATTGTATTCATAAGAGCTCAACTACCCAGTCATCAAAGAGACAAAATTATTATTTCAAAAATGGTGTTATTGTACATAATCTTTCTTCCAATTATCACTAACTGTAAGCTGAATAAATTTGTGGTAATATTTGTTGGATAAGGCAAAGCAAATCATTAGTTCATGATTGGTAAATTTGTATGTTTTAAAAGAACATTAAACTTTCCATCTGGCAATATTAAAATGCTTAGTATATAACAGGTAACTCAAAGATTATGCTACCAAAAATGAGAGTAGGCCGGCCATATAAATAAACTATGAAAAACATCACAGTGCTACTAAGATCAAAGCTATTTTAAAGAAAGAAAGTAAATCTTAAAAAGCTAAAAGTTAAATCATTAATTTTTAAGATTTAACTTAAAAAAAATGCTAAAATGCCTTCTTAAAGATTGAACTTTTTTTTTTTTTTAAAGATTTATTTATTTATTTATTTATACAAGCACTGCATACAGTCAGAAGCGCGGGAGGGCGAGAGAATTCACCAGAGCCAGAGCGGAGAGTAGAACAGGCAGAAGGACCGAAGTACACTGCTGAGGGGAGCAGCGGGCGGCAGGAGAGGTCTGCGCGCCATGTGGGACCCTCCTCTGGTGGCCGGGGAGCAGCCGGGGAGCGAACCGGCACTGCAGAGGCTGCGGACACCTTCTCAACCCAGCGCTCAACCGCTGCGCCACTGGGGAGGCCCAAGATTGAACTATTTTTTAATATTTTTAACTTATTTTAGATTTAGGTAATACATTTTACATACTTTAAAGTTGAAAAGTCTTAAAAGAGTATATAGAAAAAAAATCTTCTCATGTGTGTTCCAAGCCATGTAGTTCTCCCTGTGAACTAAAATTGCTAATTTCTTACTATGCAATATAAACTACGCATATACCCTTACATATATATGCTTACATATGTAAACTGAGTTTACATATATAGTCTATAAATATATAGTCTAAAAATACATATAGTTACATATAGTCTATAAATACATAGTACATATTAAGCAGTTGGTAACAATGTCTACAAACTTGTTTTATGCCTTGATTTTTTAAAATTTATTTTGGTTTTCAATTTTAGTAAAGTACAGAGTTAACAAGTATAGAGTTTTCTACATAGGGAAGGGCTAGTCAACCACATACCTAGTCTTTAAAATGTTTTAAAGTATTTTTCTGAACTGGTAAAATAGTAATGTTTACAGGCATTAGAAATATTAAGCCTAAAAGTACAAAGTTTGAAAATTGCTAGTCACCAAATATTAAAATATATGAGGGTTATGAGAGCCCTGAATACAAAATACTATCACAAGCATTTACTGATTATTCACTGTATGCAGAACTCTGTGAAGAGAGTCATGGAAGTGAGGAAGACCCAATCTCTGATTTCTAGGAACTTACAGTTTAGTATAGGACACCAGACCAGATAGCAGACCTTAACTAGTTCATTTTCCCAACAGAAGCTCCAAAAACAAAAATAATAATCCACCAGGGTGCTTTATTTTTGCTCTAGATGTCATGCTCAAAGATACATTTCCACTGAGAACTATGACCAGATTCCAGATTCTCCATGACCAGTACAGAATGAATATGACAAATGGACTTAAAACTAGAATAGTTTAAGTTGCATAAAGTGCAATGTAAAACAAGAGAAAACTACTTTCTTCACACAGCATAATCCTATACAGCAATTAAAATGAATGGACTATGTCTATATTTGTTAATGTTGATAAATCTCAAAAAACAATAGAAGCAGCAAATTCTAAAAGTTAGCAGGGCACTTTTTTAAAAATATGTAAAACATTACTGGATGTTATTTGTAGTAAAATTACATACCAACTCAGGAAAATAATTACCTCTTGAAAGAGAGGAAGAAAGGGGAAAAGGAATTGAAAGGGCTTTAACTATACAAACATTTTTTAGCAGAGATCTGAAAAACGCGTTAGTCTATTATCTGAAAAACGCGTTAGTCTATTAATGTGTTGATTGGCAGAGGGTGTCATATTTTCTGTCCTGTCAGCATATTTGAAATAGTACATTTTAAAAATAAAAATCTCCTGTAGAACAGAGGCTACCAGAGGGGGAGGAAGAGTAAAAAATGGGGAAGGAGCACAATACATTATGGTGGAAGACTCTGGGTTCTTTAGTGGTGGGTGTAGTGTGGTAACAACACCTGAAGGGGGCGATCCTATACCTCTAAGACAAACAACTTTGTGTAACAGAATTACCTCACTTAAAAACAGAAAAGTGTTCAAGCAGCAACAACAAAAAAATCTTTTAGACTCTGCAAAGTAGGTGTTTTGTCCAATTCAGGAGGGACTGGGTATTTGCATCCTTTTCATTCCTCAATTCCTTAATAGTAACCAGAGTCACTAAAATTAAGACAGGTAACAGAAAAGTTTGCCTTTATATTGAACTCACTGGCAATTTCTGAGAAACCTAATTCTTGAAGACTCCTTTCTGCCTTCTCTCAACTCAAGACTGGCCATTATAAATACAGCAAAAGGTGACCAGTTTTTTCCAAAAAAATGTCCCACTCAACTGTCTGAGCAAACAAGAACAGCGACATTTGCCAGGAGCCGTGTTAACAGCTTTATAAATATTAACTCATTCCATTCTCACAGCCCTGTTTGATTAGTCCCATTATACAAGGGGCGCTTGGAGTGCAGCGGAAAACAACTCACCTGTCCCGAATCAGTTATTTGTCAGAACCAAAAATCGAACCCGGTACTGAGGATGCAGCCCACACCCAGAGTTTGCCTTCGCGTCTGTTCATTCCATAAACATCCAGGAGAACCTTCCCGTAACTGGTCCTGCCAGGAACCATGGAAATGAAGAGAACAGGATATACCTTTCTTCCCTCGGTGCAAGAGGGGATGAGACTCAGGAATAAGAAAGAAATGAGCTCTAATTACCAATAGATGTGGCTTCTTGCAGAGCTTCTATAGTTGGGCCAACCAGTTCTCTATACCACTAAGCTGTACTCCACCCCTTTCTATCAGAGAAGCAGAGAACACTTTTTTGTGTGTTGTAACAATGTCACTGGCAAGCTGACAATGCGTGTGTGTGCTGGGGGCGGGGGGTGTGATAAACGCACATCAAATTGCCCATGAAGTCGAGACTCCGTGGATTCCAGCTTGGGCGAGACCTTCGCGTTACCTCCCAGTTACCTTTCGACCCAGCTCCTTCCACCCCGGGCGGCCGGTCTGCCGCCGCCTCCGCACGCCTGGGTTCAGGACCCTCACCTTGTTCAGCACGGCCCGCGGGGATGAGCAGGTCCCGCCGCCCTCTAACGCCCTCCCCAACTTGCCGAGTTTTCACCCAGGGTCCTCGCCGGACCAGGCGCTCCCCCGGCCGCCAGGCGGAGCCCGGAGCGGGGCTGCAGAGCGCGGCGGGCAGGCGGGCCCGCGAGGGGCTGGGGCGGGCCCGCGGCGCGGGCCGGGAAGCTGAGGCCCTGGAGCGGGGCCCGGGAGGATGCTCTCCCCGAGCTTGCTCGCCCCCGAGTCCGCCCCAGCCCCTGTCCCCGAGTGGCCGACTGACGCACCGGTCTCGCCAGACGCCGGTCCGAGGCTCCCTTCCGCGCCGCCGCCGCCGCCGCTGCTCACGTCCCCAGCGCGGCGCCAAAAAGCTAACGGGGCGACAACCTGCCCCTCAGCTTCCTCCACTCGGCCACGCGGGTCGATGACTCGTCGCTCGACCCCGGTCCCCCGCACGCCCTGGCACGTCAAGCCCGGGAGCACCGAATCCACGAACACGCCCTTACGTCACCTGAAGGGAACCCCGTGATTGGCTGTGCCCGAGGGCGCCCTCGCGTGAACCAACGGTTTTTGAGGCGGCCGGGGCGGGGTGAGGTGGGCTCTCGAGTTCCGGTGTCGTGGCGTTGCCAGCCCGGCCAGACGTTTGACGCGTCGCCGCCCAGCCTCCTCCGACGCGGGCCGCCGCGACGCTGCGAAACCCGAGCCCCGCGGCGGGCGCCAGGCCGCGGTGTAGCTCGCGCCTTCCATTCGGTCTGTCGCTTCGCAGGCCAGGACCAGAAAACATCGCTGCCAAGTGTCGGGCGCGCGGCCGGCTCCTGCGTGGGCGACAGACTGCGGGGGCGCCGGGGACGCCGCGCCGGGGACGCGGGAGCTCGCGTTGGGCCTCCCGCGCCGGTGCCAGCCCCGCGACCTGCGGACGCCCGGGAGGGCTTGCCCAGCTTGAAGACTTTGACGGTGTTTTCAAACTCAGTGACATGAAACCACGAATGAATTGATGATACAAAATATTAAAGCATTTTCCTACAACCATTAAATAAATTACCAGGTAAAACTAAACTCATTGAGAAACGGAACAAACGCGGGGAAACTGGGGTTGACCCTCTTAAAATTGAATATCTTGCCATAAGCAAATTTCAGATCCAAACTTTTGTACTTAGTCACGTTTTTCAATTAATGACGAAACCCCAATTTGTACAATACTGACGCACTGTTAGTTCCTCCTCGTAGTTTGGCATAGAGTCACTAAAAGGTCCTGCCAGTCACAAAAGGGGTTTTGTGCAAGGAAGTGCTGTCATTTCTCTTTAATTTTTTTAATTTTGGGATTACATCTTTACCTGTCCATCTGTGCATATATCCCACTCACCCTCCACCAACCCAACCTGCCAATACACCATGTCCCCCCCAAGCTTTCCTTCTCACCTGCTTCCTCCCCCCTGTACCCTCTGGTAACCAGTAAATTGTTTCTGTTTGGTTTTTTTTGTTTTTTCTTTTTTCTTTTGTTATTCCACAGATGAGTGAAACCATCTCTCACCTTCTGACTTATTTCACTAGTATAATTACCTTGAGGTTCACCCATTTTGTCCCAAAAGACATGATTTCATCTTTTTAAATAGCTGTATAGTATTCCATTGAATATATTATGTTAAATATATGTTGACGATATAGATCCACAATACCTTTATACATTTGTTGTGGCCGTCGTGAACAGTGCTACCATGAACATAGGTGTACATAAGTATTAGAATTTTCATACTTCTTGGATGATGGTGGTGATAAGCTCCATTAGCTTCTGTTTGACTGGGGAATCTTTATATCACCTTCATGTTTGAATGATAATTTTGCAGGATAGAGTGTTCTTAGCTGGCAGTTCCTGTCTTTTAGGATCGTGAACACTTCTTTCCTCTTTATTCTGCCTGGAGAGTGTCTGGTGCAAAATATGAGGAAAGCCTAATTTGGATGCCTTTGTAAATTATCTTCTTTATCCTAGCTTTGTGTAAATTTTTTTTTAAAATTTTTTATAGAGGCATGTTTATTTATATTTATTTATTTGTTTGTTTGTTTTGTTTATACATGCACTGGGTACAGTCAGAAGCACGGGAGGGTGAGAGAATTCACCAGAGCCAGAGTGGGGAGCAGAGCAGGCAGAAGGACCGAAGTACACTGCTGAGGGGAGCAGCGGGCCGCAGGAGAGGTCTGCACGCCATGTGGGACCCTCCTCCGGTGGCTGGGGAGCAGCCGGGGATCGAACCGGCGCCGCAGAGGCTGCGGGCAGGTTCGCAACCCAGCGCTCAACCGCTGCGCCACTGGGGAGGCCCTGTGTAAATTTTTTTTAATCTTTGATTTTTGATAATTTGACAATGATGTGTCTTGGTCTAGGTCATTTTGTACATACAAGTTTCTTTTCTGGACATCCAGACTGAATTCATTCCTGAGGTTTGGTAAATTCTCAGATATTATTTCTTTGAATGAAGTCTCTGCTCCCTTCTCTCTTTCTCTTTACCTTCTAGAATACCCATTATTCTATCTATCCTCTTCTGAGTCTGAGTTTCTTGTAGAGTTTCCTCATTTTTCCTGTCTTATTTTTCTTTTTCTCTAGTTGGGTGATTTGTACACTTGAGTCTTCTATTTCTGAAATTCTTTATCCTGCCAGTTACATTTCATTCGGAGTCTCTTTTTTTGTTCTTTTAATAGTTTCAGTCTCTTTGATGAAGAGATTTTTTTTTTTCTTTTTTCCTGGATCTCCTTTCTAGGATTTTGCACCTGTCTGCCTTTGCCTTTGCCTGGCCTTCCATTTTGCAATTTTAATGTTGTTTTAAAATCTTTGCTTGACGAAATAAATCAGAAGGAAAAAGAAAAATATCGGATGTCTAACTTGTAAGGGGAATACAGCTAAACCAAACAAAGGATCAGGAAAAAGACAAAACTTGCAGTTAAACCCTAGATCTGAGGCATACAGCAGGGGAGGGGGTGAAGAGGGGTCAAAACAGGGGAAGGAAGAGCACAAGGGACTATGGTGATGGTCATGGGTACCACGGTGGTGGGAGAATTATGAGGACTGCACTTGAAGGAAGAAATCAAATGTTGTACAAAAATGAACAGCGATGTAAGAAAATTTAATAAAATAAATGTTGTGTATGATGTGGAAAAAAAATAAATAAAATCTTTGCTTGATAGGTCGTCTATTTTTATATCATTTGTGTATGTCCCTGAACTTCTGTTCTCATTTTGCTTTTCCATCTTATGTTTGGAAGTTCCTAAGCATGTGTGTTGCCATATTTGCTTTTTTGTGGTTGGGGAGCTGTGGATTTAGTTTTGTTTTGTTTCTCTTTTTAGTTTACCTTGGTGTGAGGTGGAAGTTGGAGGAAATTCTGGGGCTTAAATTCTCTATTTGAATTTTGCGGAGGAGTGAGGTTGGCCACCTTTGCCTCCTCTCCTCTCTCTCCACAGCAAAGTCTGGTGCTTCAGTTGTCCTAACGTCCCACCTGCCCCCCTGTTGCTCCTTTCTGCTGCAAACTGTGATCTATGAGGACTGAGTCTCCTATGAGAGGGACTAGCTCTAATCCACAAGGCTTAACGTTCAGAACTCAGTTGGGCCTGCTAGGTGAGCAGCGTGTGCCCTGTTGTCTAGCAATAGCTGTAGGAGTGGCCACCACTACAGCCTCCACTGCTGCTCTGCCACTTCCAAGAGACCCAGGTTGCAAGCTCTGCACTTGGGACATTCCAAGAGTCCGGTGAATTCTCTCTCACCAAGCCTTTTCTCTGCTATTGGGCTGAGTATTGAGTCTGGCCTCGCTCTCCCTGGTGACTCTTTGATCTCTTACTCCTGGGAGGTAGGTGGTGGGAGAGCTTTCCTTGTCCATGAGAGTAGCAGAGACACCCGTGTCCCAGGTTGGAGTGCACCTGTGCATGACTGCAATTCCTTTCTAGAAAATTCCTCCAGGGAAAGTCACAGTGCTCCCTAGTCTGTGGCTAGTTGACCCCCAGCCCATTCTGCTGGCTGCTACACTCCTCTAGTCATACTCCCCTTCATTCCTTCCCACTTCTTGCCTGCAGCCAGCCACCAACTTTATTTTGAATCCCCTGTGGGAAAATTCTAGGACTCTGTTGAGCAACTTCTGAGTCTTCCTTTGAGCAAAAAAAATTTAATAGCTGTTTTTAGGGTAGAAAGTGATCCCAACCTCTCTACTCCATCATGATGTGGATTCAGATTTCTCTTTTAAATATCACTTTGGCTGCTACATGGAGAATGTATTGGGTAAGAGTAAAAAATGTTGGCAGTGAAGTTTCTTAAAGGATACCTAAAAACTGGTGCCACTGACAGGCCTGGGGGGAGGAGACTGATTTGTCACTGAATACCTATCATATTTTATAGTATGTGCACATAAATAAATTTATTAAATTAAAATATTAATTATAAAAACTGGTGGCAGTGTAATAAAGCATAATGCAGTGTGATGGTGGTAATGGAAAGAACTCTACAGAAGTGGATGTATATGAGATTTAGTTTGTAACTAAAATTGATGAAAATTATAAATTAGATATAAGGGGTTAGATGACTTCCAGGTTTCTGGCATTAGTAACTGGGTGTTTGGTACCATTTACTAAGATGAGAAAAGCTAAGAATGACCCGGTTTGGAGAGGGGGGGAAAAAAAGTAAAGTTTTAATTTGGGATATGTTTCAGATTCTTATGAGATAGCCACCTGAAGCTGTTAAAAAGGAAGCAAGACATAATGGTGTATTAGTTTCCTATTTCTGCCATAGCACACTACCTCAAAATCAGCTTAAAACATTTATTATCTTACGGTTTGGAGGTTAGGGTCTGAATGGATTTCACAGGGATAAATCAATATATCAGTATGGGTGAAAACAAGAAAGTCTTTTAACAAAGGACTTTACTGGAGGTGGCCACCAAGGGAGTCCACAGGATTAGCACCCAAAAAGAAGCCAGCTGCACATTGGCTGTGTGCAAGC